CGTTGGCAATGCAAATTTCCTACCGAAAAACACCTTAACGCGTCAAATGAAATGCAAACATTATACAAAACGCCCAAAGATGACGATGCGTAAACACAAAAAGGCATCAAAATCCAAAAAAAAAAACATTAAAACAAAAACCAGGAACAAAAACAAACAGAAGGCAGCATAAACATTTACCGGCAACTAAAAATATCTAGTACACTGGACGGAATTTATAAGTTAATTAATTATGGGATTACTCACTGGACATGTTGATATCTTTATGAGATTATAGATTTATGCAGAATTTATATTTGGGGGTTTAGTTAATATTCTATTTTGATTTTCCTGGAAATATTTTTGTTCCTCAATGACATTTTCCTTGATAATAATATATCTTTCTAAATTATTAGTTAAGTAATTATTGAATACTATTGAATGCAGCACATCCGATTTAAATAAATAAGACTTAGATCCTTATAAATTTATTACTTGTAGATATGTTTTTGTAGGCGGACTTGGTACTAGCAAAGAGTATTAATTATAGATATTGTTCCTTGGCATTTTTAATATTTAGTACTTGGTTTTGGTTATTTTTCTCAGTGCAAATGTGGCGTGTGTTTCTGAGTATGTGGGTGAGTGTTGGTCGCACGTGTATGAGTGCGTGAATGCTGGCTTCACTAACTATATTTAGAGAGAACTTACCTAGAGGCTGGAACAATGTGTGGCAATAGTCGTGGGCTTAGTCGTTTGGGGTGGGTGATAATAGAGGGGGAGTGAGTGTTGCGTAAGGGGGGTGAGTGAGTGTTAGGGGGAGAAAAAGAAGGTCGGGTTCGGGTTCGGGCCAAATGCCAGCAGCTGTTCTGTTGCCCGGTTAATGAATGAATATGCATGAGGCGGTGTGAAAGAGGGAACAGACAAGGCTCATACTCCCACTCAACACTCTTGGCTTCAATTCCGCACTTCTGTCATATCCGGTTGTTTTTGGGAAATATTGTTTATTTTCTTAACCTTAACTTAACCACAGAGAGTAGGTTTGTTAGAAAATTCTGGCGAAGTAAGTCTTAGCAAACTTTGGGGAAAATATTATAAACGGAATCCAGATCTATCATACTATTCATTAAATTCTAGAAGCAAAAAAATCATAAATATACCGTATAAATAAATCTTATCAAAACAATGTCTAACGAATTCATGAATTAAAAATATTCTTACAACTTTATTTCAAAGAAAACTTTTTAAAACCCCTTTAAAATTAAAATGTCTTTCACATATTTAGCAAATAAAAATATTTAGCCAACTGTGAATTCAATTTAATAAATTTGTTTGCCTTACAAAAGGTATCCCAAAGTTAGAAAACTCTGTATCTGCTCCTCACTTTTCCATTTACACATGTCGTGTTTTATGAGTTATTTTTTTTGGGAAAAGTGTGAGCGAGGAAAAGCGCCGCCCTCATTAATTTGCTTCGCTTATCAAATTGGTTTTGTTTTTATTAATTTTTTTGTTTTGTTCGCTTGCTGACACAAAGTTTATCCTGGTGCTGTTGCTGTGCTTTCTTGCTGGCATAATATTTGCCAGACCATTAGCCCCATTAACATAATGAATTGCCATCGAACTGCGGCTTGGATACAATCATCGGAATCGCATCGAATCGAATATATAACCGAGGCGATATACCATTATTTCCTACATGTCGGGAATGTTTACTCGCCATTTACCTGGCGAGGTGTTCGAAAGGTGTTTGGGGGGATGACATTGATTTAGAGGGGTTCACAACAGCTCTTGTTATATTAGAAATGCAAACAAGGGATAAGCGAATGGAATTAAAATTGACGAGGGAGCATTAAAGGCAAGTCGAACTTGAAAATCTTTTAATTCATTTCAATAATATGAAATCAATATGGTTATTATTTATTAAATAAATTAACTTGATTTATTTAAGCCTCTTAAAAGGTTTAAGAAATGACCCAAATGATTCTAAGAATAAGCAAAGTTTGATTTTGATTTAAACCAATTTTGATCAAGAATAAAGTAATTTTAAACCCATATTTCATATTTCTATTTTAAATTTCCTTTATTTAAATATAAAATAAAATAAATAATTCATGCATAATCTCTGTGCAATCTCAGCAAGGATAACTCAATCCCACCTCGAATGGCTAATGATTGGCAACTCTGCTGCATCATGACAAACATTTTCTGTTCTCCGACTGATTGTGATTAATCATTTGATTTAGCTTGCAAAAATTATAATTTATGATTGATTACGCATTCAGCTGTTTGCTATTATCCTCAAAGGATCAAAAACAAAGCAAAGTTCAGGCCAATTAAGTCCATTGGTATCCTGCTATCTGTCAACAGGATTTCACCGTCTCCTTTCCTATTGGAATAAGCCCGAAAGGCAGTGTAGGAAAATTTAAAATAGCTCAAGACTTAAGTCATTCAATGGCTGATGCTTCCTGGAGGCAGCGATAAGTGTCGAATGACAGACGATGACGACATTTATGGGCTTTTGTCAAGGAGAGTTTTCAATTGCCGCGGCAACAGCTTCAGAGATTTTCCCCCCACTTCCAGTCTTTTCCTTTTCCTATTTTGCATATGCCTTGGAAGTTGGCAAAAGTTGTTTATTCTTTTTTTGGTACTCTCTGTGTGTGGTGGTAGCAAACTTTTGGTGACTTTTAACAGCCGAAATATAAAGTTGTCTCTTTAGTTTTTCAGTCAGAAAAAAGTTTTCCTAATTGAGGCAGACTTAATAGACTTCTTTCTCCTGCACACATTTGATATGAGTATTTGAAAATATAACTTGCAAAATGGCCATTTTATTGATTACTCTATTCATTTTTTCCATAAAATTAATGCTATGATTGCGAAGAGTTCAAGAAAAATAAACTGGTTATTAAGACTTAATGAGGTGGTAAATTGGAAAAGCTTCGACCTTCTCTCTATGGTTTGTTGATATCTAGTGAAAAATACAAATATTTCTCATTAACAGAAATTAAGAAATATGACTTATAGTTTATATTATGAGCTTCTCGTTTTCCCTGTGTTTTCCCCTGTCAGTTGAGTGCTCGACGGGTGGCAGAAATGTTTAACTAAATGGAAAACAAAGAACTTTTAATGGCAAATTGTGCGAACTGATTCACAAGAATTTCGAAGGAATTTCTCAAGTGAATTTTTGGTGGGCTGCCCGTTGTGTTACTCGATAGGTTCGTACTTGTCTTTTTATACCCTTATACAGGGTATTATAATTACAGTCAGGAGCTGGAAACTAAGTGAAGAATTGTTTCCGATCCTATAAATCCTATAAATAAATACATTCTTGGTCAGCATCAAAAGCTGAATAGATTTATCAATGTCCGGTAAAAATATAAATTTTCAAAATTTTTTTTTTTAATTTCAAAGAAAGATAAGTGGTTCTAACGTTAAAATTTTCAAAAATTAAAAAATTTTTAATTTTTAAACTTAGTACGCAGATTTGCTAGTATTATAAAAATAGCATAGAACAGCTTTGCAAATTAAAATTAATGCATTTTTGACTTAGCTATGATATCCCAAAAATATTGATTTATCAAAAATAAATGAGACTATACAAATATCGATAATAATTATAAATTGCCAGGGCATACACACTTCGGCTTCTTAAAGTTAGCTCTCTCCCTTGATTTAATATACATTTTTCCATTCAATATTTCTTATTTTTTTCGAGAAGAACAATTTCTTGTTGAAAATTTTCAGTCATTTTTTTGGCAACAGCAAAACAATTTGTTTATAGCACGCGGAGCGTTGTGTTTTTGACATATTTATGCCGGTGGCCAGGCACTTGTGTTTGGCCCCTTCCGCTCATTCTCTGCCTTTTCCGCCTGCCACGCCCCCCTTTTTGCGAAGTTTTCACCGCCGCCTTTGGCGAAAAACAAAAGCCGAGAAAAGGCAAAAGACGGCGGCGATGATGAAGACGAGACGCTGAAGAAGCCGGCGAACGACGACCTGTGCCTGGCTTTAAGACTTTCCACAATGGAAGTTTTTTTCCCTCCAACTGCCTGCTTTCCTTTTATTTCCGTCTTTTCCGCCCTGCCGTTTTTCCCTCCCCACCTCGCCTGGCTCTGTTTTACTGTTGTCTGTGGCACAGTTTTGTTTAAAAAGCTAATGGAAATCGGGCTGTTTGACTTTGTAGTGTTGGATTTGAGAATAACATTTAAAATGCTTAAAAACAGTAATATTTAAAATAAAAGTTTAACATCAAGATAATTTGAAAACCTTATTATTTAGTTGATTCTGTTCCTTATTTTATATTTAATTTTTAAAGAAACCCCTATTGTTTTTCAATACTTTCCTGTAAAACCCATAAACCTTTTCTTAGCTGATTTACAGTATTTCTGAGGTAATCTTTGATACTTTATAAGGGTATTAAAAACTCCGCTAGATCGCTGATAAATTTTCTATACATATTCTTCCTCCCACTTTTTGTTTCATTTGAAAATTTTACAAACAATCTGAAGTTGTACTCGTTCTTGGCACTCCCTATCCCTTACCCTATATAGCTTCTGTTTTGATAGGACCTTGCGTGTCTGGCGAGCATTTCGTGAGACTTAAGTGGGCCGGCACCCAAAAACAAAACCCCTCTGAACCCCCTAAAAAAAAAAAATTAAGGGAACCTACAAAAATATATATACATACTTAGGGAACGGTGGGCTCTGACAGGGGGGAAATCCGAAAAGTAGATACGATATATTTATTGGCGGCGTCAGTTTGCGATGCTTTTTTTTTCTGCGGGGGCGGCGGCAGTTTCTGTTTGAGTTGCTTTGTTTTTTGGGGTTTGCCTTTGCCTTTGCCTTTGCCTGTGCTTTCGGTTGTGCAAAATCGAATTTATTGTTTTAATGCCATTTTCTGTCGCTGTCGAGCGCAAAAATTGGCAATTTGTTTAGAAATTAGCGCACTCCCCTGTTCTTCTTTCGTTTCTTTTCTTCTTTTTGGGCATGTAAAATGAAAATCAATTTCGTTTCCCCATCTTCTCCTTACAGCTTAGGACATTAGCGGCGGAATGAGTGGAGTGCCGGGAGCAGGCCCAGGTGGGTCAGGTGGCATAAGCAGTGGTGCCACCCACATCTTTCGTTCGCTGTCCTCGGAAAGCCAGAAGCGGGAGTGGTCCAAGCGGCTTTCCCTACGGGGAATGCGCCATGGCGGTGGAGGAGGAGGAGGTGGTGCTGTTGGAGGAGGAGCGACAGGCACAGCCTCAGGACTTGCCAAGGAGGTGAGCTAATTGACCCACCAGCACACAGTCATTATGCAAAAGGTGCACTCGGAAAAATTACAGGGAAATGTGAAATGGAAAAAGAGATGTAGAAGGAACAAAATATATACTCAATCGAAATCAAACTAAATATAAATTAAATTAGTTGAAAAGTATAACAAATAGAGAAGCCTAAAGCAATTTTAAAAATGTATAAAAATTTAAGTAAGGTTTTACTTCTTTAAAATGAAAGCCATAAATTTGCATAAGGACAAGTAACCCTTTCAGGGCAATAAGACTTTCCTGCTTTTATTTCTAAATGGTCGAATAATGTCTTAATTTTCCTAGTCCAGTGTACACAATAAGCCATTTACCACATTTGTATTTCCTGTTTTCTCTGTATTTTTTTTCGCAGGAGAGCAAGCACAGAAAGTTCTTCAGCCGCTCGGCCTCACTGCGTCAGGCGGGTAGCACCGGGAGCCAGCAGGCCTCCATGGAACTCCATGTGCCTGGCCAGGGGCAGAGTGTTGGTGGCAGCTCCTCTGGAGCGGGGTCTCCCTCCCAGCCGCCACAAACGCAGACACAACCGTCGACGCCCAAGAAGTCCAACTGGGAGGTGATCGAACATTTCAATACGAGTGCCAAGGGAGGCAAGGCCATGGTTAGCAGCAGTTTGATTGCGGTGAGTATGGTTAGGAGAACGGTGGGGCCAATAGGATTTCTGGCATCAATTAATTTGCCCGCCTAATGGACAGAACGTCGACAGCAGGCACTCCCCTCCTTACTTACTTACTTACCTACCTGTGTTGTGGGATTTAAATATTTAATTTGATTGCGCCACAAATAAGCTGGGTAGGAGCTAAATTTAAATACAATTTCATTGACAGGATGGAAGGGTGTCCTTAGTGTGCGTCCTGGGAAATTTTATTTAAAGTCAAGCAATCTGGCAAAAGCAAACAGAGGCAGGCAGCAACAGCATGTCAGTGAAATTTTGCTTTAATTAAATTTATTGTTTTATCGCAATCGATGCCGAAATTGGGCTTCAGGGTAAAGAGCTCAAGGGCCAAAGGAAAACTCTCTTAACTTTCTCACAGTTTTGTTTTAATTTACTTGCTTTTTTTTATTTAGTAAATCAATTTGGGCTGCTTACTTGGGTTTTAGTTTGAGATTGAACATAAGTCTGAGCAACTTGGAAAACTATGTTTTAGGGCTTCTGGCTTTCAGTTAATTGAAAATGAAAAACTATATTGAAATTGTTTTGAATTTATGTAAAGCCGTAATATTTTACAGTGATTTTATGATTTTAAAATTTGATTAGAGAATATAAAAATATATCCCAGACAAACATATTATTTTATGCATGAATATTAAACTTATTTTAAAGACTTTAACAGTGACATTTAACTAGTAAAACCCAGTGATTTTAATATTTTTTTTATTTGACTTTTTAAGTTCTCTTTACCTTTGCAACACCTTTTCCCATGTGTGTATATTTCTTTTAGATACGTTACCCTCTATAAAAGTTAACGTGTTTTAATGCCAACTAACAAGCAATGTCCTGGCAGAAGCACTAACACATACATACATGCACAAGGGGCCACTTGGCAACTGCACACACCCAAGTGTGTGTGTGGGTGTGTGTGTGTGGTGTTTGGTGCGAGTGTGTATATTTCTATTTGCGTTCGTTGTCAAGAGTCAATTGACAAAGTTTAGCAAATTGAAAAGGCAAAAAAAAAGGCGAGAGAGTAACGAAGGAAAAAAAAGCATTTTCTGGCATTCAAATGGGCGGCAATTTGCTTAAAAACGCCGCGGGGATCAACACACGAGTCTCAGTTGCCCAGAGTGTGCCACAGTGTGTGTCTGCGAGTGTGCGTTGGAATGTGTTTGAGTGGGAAAAACGTTTAGTTCAATTGTTTGTGGACTCACAAAAAAAACTATAGCATTCTTACCAGAGTCAAATGAATACTTAATGTTAATTGAAATAAAAACAGAAACATTTACTGTAAACACGGGGTAAAAACTTTCTAAGTAATAATAATTTAATGCATAATGAGCTTAGTGTAATGTAGTTAACTAAGAACATTTGTAGTACTGATTAATAACTGCGTGTAATGTTTAATTGCCATTTGATTGTGTTCTATTTGATTTCAATTACCTCAATTGATACATATAAATAAATTTTAATTAAGCTTGACATAGTGATTTGTAACTATTTTTCAATTATGGCATATGAAATATATATAAATGAAATTTATTATTGCGTTTGAAATATGATTCATAATGTTTTATAATGCGAAAGTATGTCAAGATGAATATTGATAAAGATTTCAAACCGAAATATATGTATATGACTTTTGGCAATCATTGGCTTCTTGGCCTTCGTGTAACAAAAGAAAATCTAAGATATGTGTTTTCTGGTGTACTAAAACGATATTTTAAAGGGCTAATATTTATGATAAATCTAAGTTTTTCAGATATCATAACTGAGTCAAAAATGCATTAATTTCAATTTGGAAAGCTGTTCTGTGCTAGTTTTAATAATGCTAACAAATCTGCGTACTAAGTTTAATAATTTAAACATTTAAATTTTTTGTCAATTTTTGAACGTTTAACATCGCTTAAAACAATTTTAAATTTTGTAAAAAATTCAAGAAATGTATTTTTCTACCGGACATTGCTAGATCGATTCAGCTGTTGATGCTGATCAAGAATATATATGATATATAGGGTCGGAAACGACTCCTTCACTACTTTAAGGCTTCTGACTAAATTATATTACCTTTTAATGGCATACTTAAGTAGCAAAAGTGTGGGCTAACGTCAAGGTCAGTTTGTAGATATCAGTAATACAAATAGCTGTATCACTTTAAATTAACATAAGTAAAGGTGTTAAAGCCAATAAGGGAATTAATTAATTGGGCAAACAATTAATTGGTGGCACAGCTTATTCTACGTATACGTGATATAATTGTCATGGTTAAGACTTACCCCAATAGAGGACACATCATCCTTGGTCATCATTGCTTAGTTCCTTCCATTGTAGAGTGAGTTTAATTAGGTATCATCAATGTTAGCTTCCTCCTGGTTATCCGGATGTACTTCATTGGTCAGGTGATATTATTCAAGTCAAGAGCAATCACTATCACTGTCACTACAGATGTTAACACTCGGGGGGCCGCCGACGGAATGAGCTCGGTCCGACGCCAGCGCCTCGTATTTATAGTCTGTGAGCAAAGAGAAGAGCGGAGAAAGTGGCATGAGCACAAGAGTGAAGGAGATACCTCGAGAGTGAGGCAGAGAGAGTTAGAGAGAAAGAGTTAGCTCTAAATACATAGAGTGGGATAGAGGGAAAGAGAGATCTGTGGTGATACTCAGAGAGGGATAGGCATGCATTTGACGATCATTCGTATGTCAGCTCTATATGGATATATAGCTGTCGATTTTAATAATACTAAAATTAATATTATAAAATAATTTATATATAAAAAGCATGTAAATACATTAATGTAAGCAAAAATATATATTTTAATTCGGCAAAATTTACATACTTACATTTACTGTTAAGCAAACACATTTCAACTAAGTTTTCTGCTAATAATATTATAACCTAATCAAGTTTGATAAATAACTTAACGACATATTTAAAGGCCTTTTAAATTAATTAATATATTTAGGTAGTTTACGCTTCTGGCTCTATTTGTTTAATATACACAAAAACACAATGGAAAGCCTGTTGGTGGCGGCTGAAAATAATCTACATTTAATTGACAATTTTGGCGGTTAAAGTGAAACATATAAATGAGATTTTATGCCTTGCAGCTCTAATAATTAAATTATTTCGTATACTTTATTCCCAAAAGGCTGGCATTACGCGCTGCAACATCGACGAATCCATCGATTCCACCAACTCCAGCTCCACCTGCCACAGTCCCATGGTCTATCAACGTGACGAGGCGCAGCTGCTGCAGCACGGTAAGAAAATACGAAGGAATGCGGAGGAAAATCTATGGTAATAGGAAAGCGTTTATCTCTCGTTACTGGGGGCTACTAAGGGTCAATAAAAATACCGACATGCACACATGCTGCTGCTTCCTTTGCCAACCAAAAGGACCCTTATTTTTTTTTTGTTCCTCCTCCCGTTCACACCGCACCGCTCAAAATGTCACAAGTTGATTGTCATTGTCATATTGAATTTGACGAGGCTATTTCGCAGTCTCGTCTCTTTCTCTCTCGTCTCTCGTCTCACGTTTCCTTGTCATTGGCATTTCACTCACATATCGTTTTTTGCCACCATCGAGACCCCCTTCAAGGTTGCCAGGCATCTCCAGTATCCTCAGTATTCAACCCACCACCCACCCAGACCTCATCTCAGATTTATTTTAGTTTGTGTTTCCTGCGAAGGGAACCCAGTTCGCCTTCGGTTTTTGCTTGGCTTCGATAGACATCTGTATATAGGACGCTGCGTAGATTTCTATGGAATTTACATAATCACGTTTGGCATTTATTTATTGATGCATATAAAAACATATTCCGAGATCCCCTCCGACATCTCAAACTCCATTCCGCAACACACGGCATTCTCTGTGTGTTCGCTCGCTTGCTGTGGTTTTTTGCATTGTGGTCAGGGCACGGGACAGTTGAATGATTTTAATATGCCGATTTGGCTGACGTTCTCCATTTTACAATAAAATATTTTATGGCTTTGTGTGTTGCATTTGAAATCAAGGTTTCCATTCTCATTTCTCACAGGGGTAGGGTACGGCAGGGTAGCAGCAGAAATGTCAGGCTCAGTTGATGATGATGTGCCACACACAATGGCTGGCAAATCGAAAATGTGTATAACACGTTAAGCGAATGAATTGTACTCGATGTCACAATGGCAAAGGAAATGTGTAGGTTTACAATATGGAAGGTAAAAATAACTTGGTTTGGGGTTGCCTTCAAAAAAAGGCACACCATCAAGCTAACAAGGATGAGAAAATAGTGTACAGGATAGTGTGTTCTGAAAAGTAAACTAATATTATGATGATTTCTAAACTAAAGTAACATAATTATGTGTGTTTTTGTTTACTTTTGGGTCAGCTTTAATGAAAGGAGAAGGGGTTGTTCACTAATAAACCACAATTAGAAATAGTTTGCTTTTTATATAATTTATTTCAACTAATTATTCCTTTTTACGCCCATCAAACTAAGCATTTGGCTTAATCTGGCATTTAAAGCTTATAGTTTTTAAGCCTACTCATGCATCTAATTAAATATTTTAGTTTCAAACAAAAGTTTACAAGCGAATTAACTGAAAATTATGCACAAATATACAAATCCTCCTGAGAGTTGATATCAACTGCCTCAGATTATTTTATTCATTCATTTTAATGAGTTTGTGAGAGGCATTTCAAAACTATTTTATTCATATGACTCATGTGTCAATAGGTATTATCAACACAAATTTGCATTTAAAAGTCATCAACAGCTCTTCATTGAGTTTCTGCTCACGCAAATCAAACACACATGAAACATTCATTGAACAATAATATATATCATTCACAAAACCATTCACACATGTCAATGACTATTTACAATTACAATCCCCTCGTGCGACTGCAAAACTTTTCCAACTTCCATGCTGTTTCACTCATTTCCATAATTCTAATCTGTTGCTAAAGGTTTTCCCCATTTGGCAGAAGTCACTCGAATATGTAATTATTTGTGTGCCACTGCAATTGCGATTCTAATCATTTATGGGGCTAATTGTAGTTGAGCTGCAGTCCGACTTAACTTTCCGGCTAAGGTATTAATTAATTTGACTATTGTCCAAGGACTCTTAGGCATATGTATATTCATAGAGCCCTCTGGCCGCAAATTGAATAACTGACTCTGGCTTTCAGGCGATCCCGGCAACCTGGAGGCCAACAATCCGAATCCGGGCGGTGGCGGAGGTGGTTCCGGTGGAGCAAACGGTCCAATGAGTCCCAGCATCTCGTTCTGGTTCCGTTTGAACCGCATCATCCTGCGCCTCTGCTCCACGCATCAGTTCAAGAATCTCCAGGTAAGCTACTTATGCTGCAAGCTTAGCATGAAATCCTTTGCCAAACAATTTTCAACTGGCCCAGCTCATGCTCATGCTGCTGCTGCTGCCAAAGTTCTTTGAAACTTTTTCGCCAGCCTTGCTACTTAGTTTGCTCAACTTTTTTTCACATAGCACTTGGAAAAACTTGTATTTTACACTAAGCTGTTTTAGATAATACGGAAGAAATAATTTACTAATGTTTTTCGATTCAATTAGATCAGTAATATGCCAAGATAAAGTGCATTTCAAAAATTGTTAATGTCTTACAAAAATACTCTATTGTTTCTTTGCAATTTTTCTTATGAAAGGAACTATATACAAGTTTTTAGTTGATTAAATTCCATTTTTAGTAAAGAGCATTAAATCTCTAAAAATATATATATCTATCTCACAATTACGCCACTTCTCCCAGTGTACTAATTTCCTGATTTCATTCAGGTGGAAATGCTGTATCAGCGCTACTTTCTGCGTATGAACCAGAGTAACACCACGCATATCCTGGCGCTGCTCCTGGCTCTGGTTTTGGCCCTATCCTGCACGCACTTGGTCTTCACCACGCTGCAGCTGCGACGCAGTAGCTCGCTGCTCCTGGAAATCGGCCAAATCGGTTTGGAGGCAAATGCGACGACCGGTGGCAACTTGACGACAACCACAATAAAGCCTCCGGCATCAGCCGCTCCACAAATTGCCTCTGGCAGCAACAGCAGCAGCATCAGTCCCTTCATTTCGAATTTTGATACCGGGCTTGCGAGTTGGCCGAAAGGCACTGATTTGAAATCCGTCGTTAACCGCGAACTGGCCGACATTGACGAGGAGGATAATGGTCCTGGATGGCGGCAGTGGCGGCGTCAGAAACGCAAACATTATCGACGGCTCCATAAGCATCGGTACAAGCACAAGGAACACCAAAAGCATCGCACCAGGTGAGCAGTGTTGCCAATTACTTATTACCAAAGGTATTAAAGTGGCCAAAATAGCAAATGTGAGGGCATTAAAAACAGCTGAAGCCAGCGAAAAAATTAATTTAGAAAATATGAGCTAATATTTCCAGCTAAGTAGATCTTTACTCATCATATTTGACGGAAACTCAGAAGTATATAACCTATAATATTAGCCAACTTATCAGCACTGCACGGAACTGTAGGTGTGATGTACTTTTTGACAGGTCACCCCTGAACCGAAAATGTGTTTCCCAAAAAGGCGATTCATATTTTGCACTGCTCGCATTTGAGGTTTTTACTTTGCGCGCGGCTCTGAAATTCAATCAAACAACTTTAGGCTGGCCAAGAAGAGCTGAGCCCATAAAAGTATGTCCAAAGTAGGCTCAAAATTGAATTTATGGCAAAGTGGTGGAGAGGCTGGAACAAGTTAAGCTTCAAGAAAAGTAATTTTAGCCAAGGCAAAGGCCACAATTGATTGAAACGAATCCATGACATGGCTTTAATCTGGAGAAAGAAAATTTAATATAGAGCAACATCAGGAAAAATCTAAAGGAAATTTATTTTAAGATATAAATTTTTGAAAATTTTAATGGATTTTCAAGCAAGTACCTTTACCATTGCCTAGATAATTAAAAGTTAAATTCAAGGAAAAATCCAAGAGCCAGGTTTATTTATAAAATGAGCCGAGGGTCAGTTAAAAATAGACGAGAAAGGACCTCCGATGCCTTTTATTTTGTCGTAATTTGAGTCTCAATTATAATAAAATTAAACGGAAATTAAATACGACTAAATGAAAAGGCGAAGATGCAGATAACCTTCAATATAAGTTTAAAATATCAATTCTGCAGAAGCCTTTGGAGTCTCTTTCTTTGTTTTAAAAGCCAAAGTCTTAAATTTTAACATAATCTGCTGTAATTTCTTTTATCTTCTATTATCATTTATTATTTATTTATTTTCCCCGAAATATTTGTCAACAAATTAAGCCGATTGAGAAGTATCTCCTGCATGCACACAAGGCAATACTTTAATCAATAACATAGGCTCGTTTTCGATAACTGACTCTGCAAATTCATTTTTTCTGCCGCTTCCATTTACATTTAGATTTATTTTCACACAAATATTTATGTTTGCCATAAATGGCAACAAGATGGATAGTTGGCCAAACACAAAACAGACATTTCCCACAATTGAGATGCGAGTGAAATAAAATTTCCGACTTTATTACAGATATAGAATACGGGAGAGGAGGAGTCTGGACGAGATCGAGCTGGTCAGTGGAGGAGGAACCCGGCTGAATGTTGACACTGCCCCCGATAATGTTTACATAGCTCAGGCTATAGAGCGTGATGGCCAGGATGATGATGATGATGATGATGGGCGGAGTGCTGGCAGTAAACGCATTACGTATACGCCGCGTGTCCGCGACAACAATCAAATTTCGCTTGCGGAACGTGATGAAGTGTTAAACACATCGTCATCAAACGCAGGACCGTCAGTCAATAATTTGGACACTCCGCTGGGCTATGGCCACGCCCTGGCCCTACTCCTGATGCAGGTGGATGAGTCAGTTTTGGTCTTTCTCATTGTCATGCTAATCTGCGGGATTGTCTACTCCTGTGAGTTGAGCTCCGGTCCTGACCTCTGACCGCTGACTTTGTCTCCTAATCTGTCTGTGTTTGCTTACAGTCCTGCTATGTATCCTCTCCAAGCCGGCCATGAACGAGATCTTCCTTGTGCTCGTCTCCTATGTCATCCTGGGCACCTTTCTGGCCATCGAAGTTGCCGTAAGCTATGCCATGGAGCCAAGGTTGGTTTACTGGTTATTTATTAAGAATACACAGGGGAAAATAAGTAGTGAATATTGCAGCATAACTAATGAAAATCTTACTTTGGGAAAACAAAGTTTGAATAATATTCAGAAGTCTCAGTAATCGAATTATTTGCAAATCCTGATATTTGTACTTATATTTTCCTACAATTTCTCTAAGTGTCCGGCAGCTGTTGCCCGGCTTGGCGAAATTAATCATTCACGGCTCGCTAATTGCGAGAACTTGGCCGGCAACAATCAGCTAAAATCCTGCTAAGCAAACAAACCACCACATCTGGGTGCTAATCGCTCTTCTCATGTTCAAATTTCTCCTCTCCGGCAGCAAATCCTTCAATGGCAGCGCCTGCTGCATAGTCCTCATCTACATGACGTACACGATGCTGCCCCTACGCCTCCGGGAGGCTCTGATCGGTGGCATCCTTCTGAGCATTGTCCATCTGTATACCTGCCTGAGGTTCACCAGGGAAGATGAGCCAACGGAGGCAATCAAGTGGGAGGAGGTGAGTGGCAGACACACGAGACACGTGTGGTCTGAGCCTTGGTTAAGACACTGGTGTATTGTCTTTGTACTGGGCCAGACATTTGTGCATTTAAATATATTTAATGAGCTTAAAAGATATATGCTTCATGATTTCAAATAAAATAAAATTAAGTAGAGGAGGAGTACAATTGCCCATATAATATAATTAGTACAATATTTTCTACATATATCTTTTTGTTTTAATAACCCATACTTTAGGGTCAAATTAGGTTTTAATTTTCCAAAGAGAACCCAAGTTTTCTGTTCTCATATTCAATGTATAACTATAGCTAGGGTTTCCGATATCAATTGACATCCCCCCCTGTTTGTTGTTTACATTTCAAATGAGGTATAGAGCCATTTATCAACAGGTTTGGCATTTCCACTGAGCCGCAAATGCAAATTGATTTAACGAACAATAAAACTGAGACCCACTGCGCAATAAGGCGGCCGTGAGCTTTAATTGCCTCCCCGGCAAAGGGAAAATGGGAAAATCAGTAGCGAAAAACAACAGTAGCAGCAGCAGCAGCAGCTGAGAGTGGCACGTGTCCAGGGTCTCCGAGTAGACATAAATGAAATGAAATTAAATTGCCGCTAAATTGAATGAAATCGAAGATGTGAAGGGCGGCGGCTCCTTCCTTCGCAACCTCCTTAAGTGTTGTTTTCCTTGTATTTATGGCCTGTAATGTCATTAATGCCTACCGATCTACCCCCGCAGCTGCTCTGCACTCTGGTTGCTCTCCTCTTGGCCAATCTTACCGGCGTTTACACCCACTGGCCCAAGGAGAAGGCCCAACGCAAGGCATTCATTGAGACGAGGCAGTGCATTGAGGCCAGGCTGCGGACACAACGCGAGAATCAGCAACAGGTGAGTGCTTTTAGGTGAAGTATTTCTACTTAATTTAGGAGCTAACATAATTGAGGATGCTTTGAAATTTTAAAGAGTACTTGAATCTATATTTAAACTGGTAAATAGGTACTAGATCTTTAAAATAAGTGACATTGTAGAGGCAGTGAAGTATTTCTATATAAATAAATAAGGAAGAAAGCTAGCTTTCCTTAATTTAATAAAGAACACCCAACAATTAAGAAACCTTGGGCCTGGATTAACATTCTCAGCTCCAAAAAAAAACACCCACTCTCTTGCTAAAACCACTAACCAAAGCTGAAAATATGCCTTGACGGGGAACCCCCTCTTTTGGAGTCGCAGACAAAGCAATTTCAGCAGGTGTCATATGTGTGAGCAAACAAATATGAAAAGGCCAATACGAGCAAAAGGCAAGTCAAACAAATAAACAGAGAAGCGAATTTCGCACAAATTGTTTGCATCAAACGGAATGTTGATTGAGGACCAGCGGGGGAACTGATTCATCTCCCACGTTATTTTCTGTGATTTTCCCTGGCCTTTTATCTGGGACACAACAAACAAAGGACATTTCAAGCAGAGAGTGTCGGCCCACGCGGTTCCATAATTTGGTGGCACCTTTTGATGGTGACTGTTTCAGCTTTAAATAAGAAAATGTTTAAAAAAAAATACGGAGAAAAATGCAATGCAAATTCAAGTAATGCGATCATAAAAAGGACTCTCAATGAATATTTTCTCTTGTATACTTCAGACCATCTATATCTCTCTGATGTAAATAAATGTGAAATTTAATTTATACACACCGATCCTTAAGCCAGATTTAAATTTAAGTCGCATTTTTTTTTTGGGGGGGGGTCGACAACACTTTGTTTCACATGCAACATCCTGTAATGGATATGGGGTATTAACTGGAGATCCATTTGTTGCAGGAACGCTTGCTGCTGTCGGTCCTGCCGCGTCATGTGGCCATGGAGATGAAGGACGATATTGCGGGCCAGCCACGTGACACACAGTTCCATAAGATATACATTCAGCGGCACGAGAATGTCAGGTGAGTTGTTGTCCTGCAGGACCTGCGGGTGTGCGTGCCAGTATGTGTGTGAATTTATTTGCATGCAGAGTCAATAAATTGTTCGGCTGAGAGTCTCTGAATGTCTGAGCTTGTAACGCGAGCAATGAATTTGTATGCAAAGCCAAAAAGGAGCTAAAGCAAATGCACACACACCACACACACACACTCACACACACACACACCATGACACAACAAAGCACACACAGAGCACTCAACGAAGCATAATAAAGCATACTTTGGGGCGCACCTGTTTGAGCCAGAAATGTCGTCTGTCTGCTGCTGCTATTCCCTTGCTTCCTCTCAAACGGAGTTGCTAAGATTTCTGTCCCAAGTTGCCAGGGCATAAAATATGGAAAATAGTTGAGGATACTGATACAGGAAAATAAGATTTCGCATTGAAATTCAAATAAGAATATAAAGTTTTCGTGGCACAATTTAAACGAGCTGTATAAACATCTGTATTAGCTTCAAGTCTCTTAAGAAAATGTTTAAAATTAATTGTATTATACTAAGTACAATCATGGGATTCAGTATATCCTTTTCTAGGGTATTACAGCTTTTAACTCTGAAGATGCTCTGCCAATGCTGTTTTGCTTTATATGTTTACCCTACCAAAAGTTTACCTCAGCCATTTTGTATTAAATTACGCGCTGAGCCGACTAAGCCCTTCTCAGTTACGAGTCGTAAAATCAGCAAAGAAAGCAGCGCCAGAAACACGAGAAACAAGTGGCAGTGCTAACGTGGCTCTGTCAACACATGGCGTTTTAGGCCAAGTGAAGGCGAACGTGAAATGGTTTTAACGTCATTAGATTTCCGAGAATAAATAACCGACACATAATTCAGCCTGAGACGAAAAAATAAAGGGGGAAATAAGCTTCCGGAAGCTTCTGAATTTAAAACTCCATTTAAACAGCTGTTTTAGGGAGGTAAAAATTCTCACAAAGGCAAAAATAATTACCTATATCCCCAAATGTGTTTAAAATTCTTCGGCTTTAAGTGGTTTAAAGCTTAGAATATAATTTTAAGAACTTGTTTTGATACGTTTTGTGTTTTTCTTTCTTTTCCCAATAATCCAAACTCTATGTTTCATCTGTATCTTTTGTTTTCCAGCATTCTCTTTGCGGACATCTGTGGCTTCACCAGCCTCTCGGATCAGTGCACCGCCGAGGAACTGGTGCGTCTGCTGAACGAGCTCTTTGCCCGGTGAGTATGGGAATTGGTATTGGTCCTGCCTCCTCAATGGCAGAGTTTTACGGCCAGAGGTTGTGGCCATAATTAATGGCAAACAGTTCAGACACTTGGACAAAAAAGTGGGGACTATTTGGAATTATATTTGTAAAATTGTTTCATATTAAAAACACTTACCATTGCTTTTCGAAAACCTTTAAAAATATGTAAGTTATCTTTAAATAAATATATATATATACATATATATAACAGAAAAGATAGGGAAGCCGAAGTTTGTTTACCCTTTCAGGGCCGAATTTGAAAATGATCAAACTAAGCCAAAAATGGATTAATTTCAATTCGGAAAGCAGTTCAGTACTAGTTTTTATTAGGTAAAAAAATGTGCATACTCAGTTCAATGAATAAAATATTCAAATTTTTGAAATTTTTTGAAAATTTTGACGATGTAACCCCTTATCAAATTATCAATTTTTGAAAAAAATTTCAAAAATGTATTTTTTAACCGGATATTGCTAGATCGATTCAGATTATAATGCTGATCAAGAATATATATGACTTAAGGGGTTGGAAATGATTCCCTCACTACATTTCAAGCTTCTGAATGAATAAAAATAAAGGTAACGATAAAGATAAAGATAAAGATGGATAAAGATCTTAAAGTTGTAGATGAATATGTTTATTATAGACTAAATAAGTAATCCAGAGTACCTTTGCTAAGCATCTAACTATCTTAAACCAATGCAGATTCTGTAGAAACTGTGGTATATCAATCCAACCCCTAAAGAAATTCTTAAAAAATAGAAAACTTCTTCCAGTGTAGTATCTATCTGTCTGGGTTGTTGTCTTATTCATGAAATGGAAACCCAGACAGAGCCTGTGGCTCTGTTAATTGCTTCAAGTGAGCGAAAGAAAACTGACCACAGGGCAAACAAATAAAGCTGCTGACCTTTCTATGGCCCGACTTAGGCAGTAGTAACAAGTTGCTTTTATGCTTGAACGAGAGATGAAATTTTGGGTATTAGGAAAGGGGTTTTAATAGTTCGGTTAATGGTTCTCAGATTGTCTTAGTGATGCTTTAATGTATTGGATTCTTTTTCAAGAAAATTTAAAGCTAAGGGTAATTTAAAACTTCTAAGAAATGTCATAATAATATTCTGTAAAGCGACACCCGATTTTAATTAATGTTCAACCTTTGCAACCTTTTCTCCTTTTTGGTTACATTTCAAGTCCTTCAGAGTTAATTTCTTTAAAGGGTCCCTGAAATGTGAGACGTCTCTCTCATTTGCGGTTCCCTCTTCTGCCCCTTTGATTGTGATTTTCTTGATGATTTTCTTGTCGATTTCTCAACTCCTTCATTTCCGCTTTTCCACTTTTCCATTGCAGCTTTGATCGATTGGCTGCAGAGCATCATTGTCTGCGCATTAAGCTGCTGGGCGATTGTTATTACTGCGTCTCCGGACTCCCGGAACCCCGTCCGGATCATGCCCATTGTGCCGTAGAAATGGGACTCGATATGATTGACGCCATTGCGTGAGTATCCGCATCCAGAACATAGGAACATGAAAGGATATTGCTGTTTTGCGGCTTTGTTGTGGTTACACAGGAGGGAAAAATGTGTAATTCTTTAAGATTTCTTAGGGAAACATTTATTTTCTGAACTTTAATTGATCTTTTTTTAACAAGAGAAATCAGAAGAGATGTAATCTTTAATATCAGAATTATTTTTGGCATATTCGAGTACTAGTTGATGCCCATTTCTCCCACTGTACTTGTACTACAATACCCTTTTGTTTCTTCTTTTTTCCTGGGACTTTCGCAGGCTGGTCCGCGAGGTGATGGCGGTGAATGTGAACATGCGAGTGGGCATCCACACGGGACGGGTGCACTGCGGTGTCCTGGGCCTTGTCAAGTGGCAATTCGATGTTTGGTCCAATGATGTCACACTGGCGAATCACATGGAGAGCGGCGGGATACCCGGGTAAGTCTATCCACATGTAATCTATAATCTATAATCTGCAATCTCTCTTATATATCCTAGCTGAAATTAATTGATCTTGGGGTCTTTAACTGTCATCGACTGACACTTCAAAGTGTCTCCTCTCTCTGTTCCGGATCTTCTTCCGGGGAAAATCCGCAGAAATTCAATTCACATTGCCTGCCATACCCCCTGACCAAATTCAATTTCACTCTGTGGGAAATCCAATTCAAGCCATTGAAAATCCCGTTTTGGTCAGTTTGAGCCACTTCTGGGCGACAGCTGTGAATAATGGCTATGAAAGGCAGTCGTTGGTAATATCTGCTTCTTCCACACGGAAAACTCTGGCCGGGCGGGCGACAGAAAAAAAAAAAACAGTTGACAAGTTTGCGCGGTGCACAATTAAAGCCAAAAGTTGTATTGTTGAGCACCGCCTCCCATAAAGGCACTTGAGAGTCCAAAAGTGTTTGCCGCTCTGCGGATGTCCTTCGAGTTGTGCCCCTCCTTTGTTGGCTTAATCGTTGTAATTGCCACAAAACACACACACACAGAGAGAGCATTTTGCATGCGTCTTGTGGCCAGCTAAAGGCGTCAAGTTATTGGTAACTTGCGAGCACTTGCCAACCTCTTTGGAAGCCCCTCAAATAGCCCGACGCCCAATCGATTCTGACCCACAACTTGCAACCCAACCAAGTTGAGGCATGACACGCCCACACCCAAATACTCACAACACCCACCACTGATAAGTGCCTTTGGAACAATATTTTGTTGCTGTTGACTCAGCTGCACTCACTTCAACACTCGAGCAATTTGTTTCTGTTCATACTTATACCCTGACATTAAAAGCTCCATCTGGCTGATACTGAGGTTTGTCTTCCTTGTACATTTATTTTAATATATTAAATGCAAACTATTTCGTTACGAGAAGAAACTAGCAACAAAGTAAGGGAATCCTTAAATGATATGTATATACATTTGATCAGCATGGATCTAGACATAGCTCAGGTTTATCTAGTTTATAATGGGTTGAATAGTTACTAGGAAAGTATAAAATTTATATGTAGTAGGCTCTTTGATTTAAGCTCATCGAATTGCCAACATCTTTGAAATATTTTGCCGAAACTTGTCTGTGAAATCGAATATCTTGTTACCAAATAAACAGAGGTATCCATTTAAACTTCTAAAAGATCGACATGGGCATTGTACCCAGCCAGCCGTTTTTAAGTCGCGAAGATTTGATCCGATATCGGATGTCCAGTGGCCTCTCCTCGTACCAGCTGGAGCATCTGTACAGCCGATTTTGTGAACTGGATCGCTTTGAGGTGGGTTACCTGACGCCCACCGATCTGCTACGCATCCCCCAGCTGACCCTGAATCCCATGTACCGCCAGGTGGTGGACATCTTCTTTCCCAACCGCGAGCGCGATGCTCGTCTGGAATTTGATAAATTTGTGGAGATCTTTGCCATTATCCTGAACCCGCAATCAGGACCCTTTGGTCGCTGCAAGCCTGGTCGGGCTGAGAAACTGCGACTGCTCACCCAGATGTTCGATTGTAGTCAAAGTGAATGTATCAAGCGAATTGACTTCCAAATAGCCATGCGTTATCTATTGGATCACGGGGGAGATGCGCAAGAGGAGGAGGTCGAGGTGGAACTGATGCTCCTGGAATATCAGGCCTTTGGGAATAACACCCGCAATCGGATCTCATATGAAGAGTTCGAAGAGCGACTCCTTGCCGCCGATGTAGATCTCACCAGTAACAAGTGGTCATCAAAAGATGAATATGAACATGAGGTTCAAGACAAACCATTAGTGTCACAGGACAGTATCCTTAAAAAGCTAACAACCTGGATCTCCAATTATTTCTTGTCTGTTCGAGATATTTTTTATCAGTAGCGAGAGAATAAGTAAGGAGAAACTTGAGTATATATTATTTATACTACTCGTAGCTATCTCTTATAGCTTCTCTTGTTTTACAAAATAAACTTCACCACAAAATAGTGTAGTTTACCAAGTCGAAGTTATCTCTTACGAGTCTCCCTCCTTTGGTGTTGCTTTCTTTTTTTTGAATATTCACTCTGCGACTTTGGGTGGAAGTTTAAGTAACTGTTGAGTTTATTTGGGTCAGCCGGGCGACGGCAGCTCGTTTGTTAGCCCTGTCCCGGGTGAAATTAAAAGCAAATAGCTGCAATGTTGGCCCTGGCTATATATATATGTATATATATATACTCCTTCTGGTATGCCTTGGCTGGATGCCTGATAAGCTGCAATTTCTGAGCCGAGAGTTCTGGGAGCGTGGCATGTAAAAAGTTCGTTAGCAGAGGCGCGGAGGAAGTTGTCTGCCCCCGGGGAATGTGGACTGCAGCAATCCGTAACAAAGCGTCGTGTAATTATCAATAGAATCAACAACAGGCCAAAGGAGCCAAAGGAAGCCAAAGAAGACAGGCGCATCTGCACACAAGAACAGCATTAAAAACAATTTAGTGAAAAGAAGGGGGGAAATGTGGGAAAATACGGGGCGTGGAAAATGTGCTCGTGGCTGCTGTGGCAGCTGCTTGTGTGGCATCTAATGTGAGTGTTTCCTGCGGTTAACTGCATTTTCCCACCAACCACATGTCCTCACTAAAAAAGAACTAACCTTAAGCTGGCAGAGATAATCATTAGGATGTGTCTTTTTATATATTTTTTTTAGACGCGTTCACATAACCAAGGAGACCTTAAAGTGTCTGGATGGCGACTATGAAGTGGAGCAGGGCAAGGGCAACGAACGTAACTCGTATCTCAAGGATCACCAGATAGAAACCTATCTCATAGTGCCGGGGGATATCTACAGGCCGGTAAGTTAACTTCTCTATTCATTATTTTCTATTTTCTCTTTTTCTTGTTTTATATATTTAATACTGACTTTATTTGCAGCACAAAAAGTCTCGGAATCGCCTGCAGGTGAATGGAAATATATCCAAAGAGCTGCGCATGATGGGCCATGGAACAGCCCAGAAGCATACATCAAAGTGAGTTATTAAAGAGTTATTTTTAAATTTCTTGAACTTAATATAATAATAATTTGTTCTTTATCTTGCTTTGTATTAGATTTGGTTTTGGGGACAGCTCGGAGAGTGCCAAAGACCCAGAGGACGAGGTGAATGAGTATCTAATGCGTGCCATAGATGCTCGCAGCATAGATCACTTAAGAGCTGAACATTGTCAGTCTTTATTGCTTTGCTTTAAGGATAATGTGCTTGAAAGAAAGGTAAGTCAGCTTATGGAATTTTATCCTTATAAACTTTAGTTAACTGAGCAGTTTCGGATATTGCTATAAACATGAATAACTTTACGCCCATATTTACTTGGCCTGTGCTTCATGATGCCTGCCTAACTTTAAAATAACAGCAGAGCCCAGAGTGCTGCTATTGTTGCCCTTTTGCAAAGAGAACACATGTTTATTTATTTACAAAATGTATAGGAATATTATAGCTAAGCCATTCTTTTAACGCTTTGTTTTTCAGTATGCCAGTGAGCCGGATCGCATGTTATGTGTTTACTTCTACTGCAGTCTGTTGGTGCTGCTCGGAACGAGTGCAATGCGACTGGTGGTGTTCCAGAGGTGAGTGCACGGGATTGGATTCTCCTCCCGAATGGGGCAATGGGAATCCGTATGGATGAGCTCAAAAAGCCACCGTTCCACTGCAGATGGGCGTCCGAGCGCAATGTGGCGATGTTGCCCGCTGGCTTTGGACTCCTTTGCACACACACACACACACACACACACACACACACACACACACACACACGGTGTATACGTGTTGCCGAAAAAGTTGCTCTATTTAAATTGGCAACCATTTCACTCACTCTTTGCAACACTCTACCATTTGCAGCTCCCTGTTGACACTGGCCTTGTCCACCGGCGCTGTGTTGCTGCTCGGGCTTCTGGTATTTCTGGTGGCATGTCATAAAATCAACTTTCAGGTGAGCACCCACACAGAGAGCGAGCAAAAAGGAAGGGGGAAAATTGTTGACATTCTGCATTTTTCATTCGGCGGAATGCCAAAAACTTTTTAGCTGCCATCGGACATCAAACGCTTCTCATTGCGCATTCATAGCAATCGCAGGATATCACAGTTTTTCGCCTTCGCCAGCGTCGCTTTGATTGTTCTCACCACCCTCCTGGCCATGGTGAGTGTACATGAATATATATATATATATATTTTATATTTATATCTATAAATCGGCGGAGGTAATCGCCCTCTAGTAATTGGCTGCCTTTATAATATGCCATAAATATTTAAGTGAAAATTCAAAAAGAGGGAAAAGCGGGAGGGCTTCAACGTGGTAGATTTTAATTGAATTACGTATGCCGCATTATGACAGCGAAACAAATTAATACAAAATGGTTTTTGACATTTATAAATTTTGAAAATGGGTAAGAAAAATACAAGGCAATTACTAAAGGTTTTAAATGAATTTTTAACATACAATTTAGGAACAGATTTACCTAAATTTTGTTATAAAACAGTCATTTTAATGAAGGATTATAGTTGATAATATAAAATGATTGTATTAACAAAAGAGTAAATAAATTAATCCATGCCTTCTTTGGGATTTTCAGTGAAAAGTTTAAATTCTCTTGAATTGATTGCAATCTCCTCTTAATTTATTATTCACAACAAAACAAAATACACTTCAAATTTTGATGCAAATACTTTCCCCTTCCCCTCCTCCCAAAATGCATAGAATTTGACAAAATGCGAAAATATTTGCCAAAATAAAAGTTTCCTCTCTCTCTATGTGACACAATGTCAAAAGTTTTTTTCTGACCCGACAAGCACAGAATTATGCGTTGACTTTCATGCGACATACGCGGCGTATGCGCAATATTATGCGGAAATCATTAAGCTTTAGGAATTTAAGCCATTTCTACTGAAAAACTATATTTCAACTGCCTTTGGGGCTTATTTTTTATCTGTTTGAGGGCATTCCAAACTCGACCAAGTTAAATTAGCCCACAAATTGTTTTAAATTTTCAGGGTATTCTCCTTTTGTTTAGAAGTCTCTAAAACAGTGAAGGATACATTTCCGACCCCATAAATCATATATATTCTTGATCAGCATCAACAGGCGAATCGATCTAGCTGTGTCCGGAAGAAAAATAAATTTTGAAAAATTTTTCTTAATTTTACAAGGGATTACATCGTTAAAATATTCAAAAATTGATCAAAGTTTTTAATTTTTTATTATCTTAAATTGAGTATGCAGAATTATTAACCTATTATAAACTAGCACAACACCGCTTTCCGAATTGAAATTAATGATTTTTCGGCCAAGTTATGATTTATTTTTGATTCAATAAATTGACTGATTTCCCTTACAGGGTATTATAGTTTTAGTTAGAAGCTTCAAAAACAGTGAATGGGTCATTTCCGACCCGATATATCATATATATTCTTGATCAGGATAAACAGCTGAATCGATCTAGCTGTGTCCGGGAGAAATCAAATTTTTCGTAATTTTTTCAAATTTTTATAAGGGGTTACATCGTTAAAAATGACAAAAACTGTTCAAAAATTTTCCTTTTTTTTTAAATGTTAAATTTAGTAAGCAGATTTATTACTCTTACAAAAACTAACACAGAAAAGCTTTCCGAATAAAAATTGATGCATTTTTGTCCAATTTATGATTGATTTCCATTCCCTTCTATTGAACCAATTACTTCGGCTTTCCAAACTTGGCTCCCTTTCTTGTTTTATATATTTTGTTCGTTATCCTTCATTGGCTGTGCATTTACTTGCGGCAGCTCATGGGGGGGAAAACTTTTGCGACTAGAAATTCCTAAAAGAGAACGAGACGAGGGCAACCTCTTAAAAGGAATAAAAAATAAAATTTACGTTTTGTAGTCCAAAACAAAATCGGGGGCGCGCTTGTTGCTTGTTCCTTTTCCTTTCGATGTTGTTTTGCTGGGGCGCGTCAAAACAAAAGTTTTTCTATTAAAGTTCGGCATTGGCCAAGTGAGGTATTCCATCGAGAGGGCAACGAATCCTAGTCCCAGCCAGCTCCAGCTCCAGCTCCACATGATGAAGTGAGAGGTGGCTTTATGGGCAACTTGTTACCTGCCCCATGGCTTTTGTCTGGATCGAGTCTCCTGCCCCCGGGGTTCTTTGACATTTCGCTGTCATTTTTGTGTTTGTTTCGGGCCACATTTAATGGCACTTTAAGAGGCATTCGTATTCATTTTGGGCCACGCTTAATGGCCAATCTCCGAGGGGGAATGCGACATGGACGACCTGTTTGTCGTTAAAATCTGCCGCAGAACGTTAAACTTATCTAATGTGAATTTCATGGCTCGACAGCTAATTAGCAATGCTCTCCAAAATATTTATATATATATATAGTTCCAGGAATCGTCCCGGCAGCTGGAGTTACTTCAGCGGAAGCTCTTCTGGCTGGATGTCAATGGGAATATAAATGTCACGGCATATAACCATCAGGAGATGTATTCTCCAGAGGATTCAGAATCCGAGTGCGACTTTTACTTGGCCTACAATGTAAGTGAGTCGGAAGGGAGAATCATTTATCTATAGTCTATTTATAAAGTGCTAAGTATTATGGATTCCTGGAGCTAGTAGTTACTTTTGAAATTATTATTGCCTAGCTGAAAGTTGATCTTTGCATTTATCTACATATATATTTCCCTAATTTCATCTAAGACATTCCTGCTGCTCACCCTACTCTCGATGATGAGCTGTGCCACCTACCAAGTGCTACGCATCCTGCTGAAGCTGCTGTTGCTCCTGCTGGCCTCCGGCAGTTACATGGCCTGCTCCACCTACTTGTACACGCACAGCAAGGAAATAAGCCAGGAGTTGGCGTAAGTAAAACATCCAGCATCCAACAGCCATCAGTTTGGCATCCTTGCATTCTGCATTCAGAGAGGCAGCTGCGCTATCTCTGAATGAAAACGAATTATGGCGTAATGCAATTTCAGTTGGGTTCAGTGGGTCGCAAGGGGTTACAAGGACTCTCTGCTGAGTCGGCACCAGCTGAATTGCATTTACGGCAGCCGCAAACTGCATTAAAATTGTATTTAGCACCCACTACGAATCCAGATGGAAAGACAGAAGCTGGCGCCCTCGGCTTCATTTATCAACCAGCACTAACTTCTCTTGTTCCTTTCCATTTCGCGTGTGTCCTTGTCGCCCTCTGCATTGCCCTTTAATGGACCGGAATAACTTCGTCATTGTCGCCAACAAAACAGCAACGAGGAGGCAATGCTGCGCTACATAATTGATTCCATCTTCCTGTTCGCATTTATGCTGGCACTGATTTTTCACAGCCATCAAACTGAGGCCACTTATCGCCTGGACTTTATTTGGAAGTTGCAGGCCACGGGTGAGACAAGTTTAATTATTATTTTTTATTATTATTTCAAAGGCAATTGGGCAGGCAAAGTGCGCAAATGGAAACTGAGTAAAACTGCTTTCGAACTTTTGCGAAATAATTTTCACACAACTTTTTAAACGGGTCAAAGGGTATGCTCTGAAGTGCTTTTAAATATTTAGTTTCCAACTAATTAAGACATTTTAAAGTTTAATTCTTTTGTAATTTACTTTAAAGGGACAGTGTTTTACGCAATTATTGTTTCTGAGGGTACTCTTGAATGTGCAAGTATTTTTGATGTAATTATTCTGAAGAGTACTTTTTAGTTATTCAAGGAAAATTCTATTTTCCAAAACAACTTTCATATTAACCTGATATTCAGCTTTAGCAAGTTGAAGCAACTTTTATGGTTCCATTAAGATTTCTTAATTAACTTTCAACTTCAAAGTAAGCTACCTTTTAATTTCCCCCAAATTTCAACATGAAATATTACGTATACGCATAGTTGGCTGCATTCCCCCCTTTGAATATCCTTCACTCATTTGTAAAATCCTGTTGCATTTTAGGGGAATCCCTTCTAAGGATTCGGCTGATTAAAATTTGAGAGCTGGAATGGAAAGTTGTGAGCCATTTATCCTGCGTTCATGACGTTGCCATTTCCTTTTGACACACTGTCTGTCAGTGATTCAAAATGATTTCCAGAGAGGGGAAAACAGCCGGAAAAGTTTCGGGACATAAGCCACTTCATTAGTATTAGTGCACAATTGCAACGCCCACTCTCTCACAGAGATGCACTCAGACATTTTCCACCGAATTTCCTTGTTTTTCTTTTCGTACTTTCCTTTTTCTGATGTTTTTTGTTTTCTGGCAATGTGTGTGCTCAGAGCTCTGTGCTTTTACTTCACGCTTCGGTAAACTGATAAACTGATATTTCAATTTCACGCTTATGTTCTTTTTTTTTGCTGCTCTCTTTTTGTGGCCATTTGTTGCAAAAATTTCGCAGAGGAAAAGGAGGACATGGAGCATCTACAGGCTTATAACCGCAAACTGCTCGAAAACATTCTGCCCGTTCACGTGGCCGAGCATTTTCTGAGCCGCGAAAAGCACCTTGACGTAAGTACACAATTATACAAACAAAATATTCTTTGTTACAGCTAAAGGCATATAATTGGGGTAGAATTATATTTCAGTATAAGAAATATTCAATTATATAGAAGGTTGAGAAATGGTAATTGCGTTTTTTGTGTTTTGAAGCTCAATATATTAGGAATATTATATTATATTCAATTATATAGAAGGTTAAAACATGGTATTTGTGTTTTTTTGTGTTTGGAACCTCAATAAATTAAGAATATTTCAAGCCTTTTTCTAAAATATGTCTGTTTTTGGTTATTTATTTCTAGGGATATAAAATCTTTATTTCATATACAGTTATATACCGGAAATAAATCTAATAATTTCTTTTCCATATGTAGAAATTTGTTTAGGCATTTAAATCTTCTCAAGATTATTCTTTAAACTACTCAAACTTATTTGCTCAATAAAGCTTTCAAAAAGTGCTCCCAAAAATATATATTTAAATAAAATCCCAGACCATTAGCATAGCCACTAAGCTGACTTTAGGTGTATGTACACGATTTCAGACATATAGTGGCTATATATTCATGAGGCGTGCTGGCAAACTGTTCAACATATTAAAAAACTTTGTGGCTGTGAAATCTGCGCCAAGTGGAGGAGCCCCACAAGCGAGGGACGAGGCAAAAGGACTCAGATTGGAAAACGACCCACCCAAGAGGGTTAAGGGGGAAATGTGGGTTAGGAGAGAGGGAACTGGGTATCCTGATGGCGATGCTGATGTGACCACGTGTATGCGGCCTGAAAACATTTCGCTGCACTTGCCGCAAGGTGGAAAGTCAACGGGTTTCACAGAGAGAGAGGGCAGAACAGTGGTGGTAAATGGGGCAAGTCTGGTAGGCGGACTGGGCGGGGCAGTCTGCCGCATTAAATGCAAATTCAACAAGCTTAGCCACATTTGATGGCCACACAGACACACACTTTGCACAATGAGCTCAGCTGGAGGCTGGCAAACAGAATTTCACAGAGAAAATATATGAATTTTAGGTGATTTCTTGAAGTAGTAGTCATTTATTTGATTTTAGTTTGTGTTTAATTGAATATCTAGGTTTTAAATCCTGAATTAGTACTAAAATAAGGTTTTAATTCCTTTCAAATATCTTTTACTTGACTTCCTTACAGGACTTGTACCACGAGCAGTGCGATTCGGTGTGCATTCTATTCGCCAGCATTCCCAACTTCTCCGAGTTCTATGTGGAACTTGAGGGCAACAACGAGGGCGTTGAGTGCCTTCGTCTGCTGAATGAGATTATCGCCGACTTCGACGAACTGCTCAGCGAGGAGCGCTTCCGGTGAGTCCCGTGCATCCGTTTCCGCTTAGCCACTTTTAAGGTTTGGTCCATTTCCGCTAAAACCCTCTTCCTCTTCTATCCCTTTTCCCGTAGCTGCATTGAGAAAATCAAGAGCACGGGCGCCACTTATATGGCGGCATCCGGCCTAACGGCGAACACCTGCGACCGGGTGAACTTTAGCCATGTGACCGCCATGGCGGACTATGCCCTCCAGCTGTTCGACAAGATCGAGGAGGTCAACATGCACTCCTTTAACAACTTTCGGATGCGAATAGGTGAGGAAACTTTGTTTTGCTAAAAATTTACATAGTTTCGGTACATGGGGAGAATTTCTACACTCATGAAATTGTTAACTAATTCAGAAATTCATAAATTTTCACTGTATCCTTGCCCTATCCCTATTTTCAGGCATCAATATAGGTCCTGTGGTGGCCGGCGTCATTGGAGCCTGTAAGCCTCAATATGACATCTGGGGCAATGCCGTTAATGTGGCTTCGCGAATGGACTCCACGGGTCTAGTGGATCACATCCAGGTGAGTCCAAGAGTCTTGATTTAATCATCGGCTAATCGTGGGCACCCAGCTGGCTGTCGGACTCGCTTTTAACAGCGAAAGTTGTGGGCTGGAATTTCATGTTTTAAAAGTTTCCAAAGAAGAGTGAGCTGTAGCAGCCACGCCCACCTAATCAAGGGCATCCTGGGCTGACCACTTCAGCGCGAAAGTTTTTTTAGTGTCAACGAAACTTTTTCCCCGAGGAATAAAGGGCACAGATATAGAGGTACAAAAGTACGAGATGAAGATACCTTTTACATCAGGGTGGCTCGATTCTTCTTTCTTTAAAATGTTTGATTAAAATAAATATTATAATTTTCTAAGCTATTGTATACCAACAAGAAATCCTGAGATATATGTGTTCTTTCTATATTAAATTGATATTTTTAAAGCCAAATTTTGTGGCTTAATTCTAAATCTTCTGAATATCATAACTAACTCAAAAGTGCATTAAATTCAAATCTGAAAGCTGTTCTGTGCTAATTTTTATTAGATTAAAATATCTGCATACTTAGTTAACATTTTCAAAATATTATTTATTTTCCCAATTTTTGACAATTTTAACAATATAAAAAAAAGGTTCAAATTTTGAAAAAATTTCGAAAAAATTACTTTTTTATCGGACATGGCTAGATCGATTCAGCTGTTTATGCTGATCAAGAATATATATGCATTATAGGGTCGGAAACGACTCCTAAGCTACTTTTGTAGCTTCTGACTGAAATTTTAGTGCCCTGAAAGGGAATAAAAAAGTAGCAAAAGTTGGGTCTAAAGTCAGGGTTAGTAGTTTGTATATATTATAATTCCTGTATCACTTTAATTTAATATTAAGTAATGGAGTTTATCCCAATGTGGTAATAAATTGGACAATAAATGAATAGTTAGCACAGCCTATTCTACGTATACGTGATATAATTGTCATGGTTAAGACTTACCCCAATAGAGGACACATCATCCATTGTCATCATTGCTTAGTTCCTTTCATTGTATAGTGACTTCAAATAGATAGCATCAAAGTAAGCTTCCTCCTGGTTATCCAGATATAGCGCACTGGTCAGGTGATATTTTCCGGGTTGAAGGGAAATCACTATCACTATCACTACAGATGTTAACACTCGGGGGGCCGCCGACGGAATGAGCTCGGTCCGACGCCAGCGCCTCGTATTTATAGTCTGTGAGCAAAGAGAAGAGCGGAGAAAGTGGCATGAGCATAAGAGTGAAAGAGATACCTCGAGAGTAAGGCAGAGAGAGTTAGAGAGAAAGAGTTAGCTCTAAATACATAGAGTGGGATAGAGGGAAAGAGTGATATCTGATAATACTCAGAGATCGATGTAGATGCATTTGACGATCATTCCTATGGCAGCTCTATATGGATATATAGTCGTCCGATTTAAATAATATTAAAATAAAATAAATTAATATTAAATGGCTTTATCTCTCTATATTTTTTAACCAAAAAAGTAAATTTGAGCCACCCTGATGCTAAAATGTGTGCAAATACAGATACAAATTCACCCACAGATACAGATACAAATGCGCATTTGATTTTATTTGTCGAGCGTCGACGCTGTCAATAAAACGAAACGAAAAAATTTGCAAGAGAAATAAATTATTAAGTGGGCGAGTTTCGGGGTATTGGGACTCGTGTGGGGGAGTGGCCATGCGATTGGGGGACTCCTGCTGGATGTCCTGGGTGTTATCATGAAATATGTAGTCAAGGGTTGGGCGCGGGTGAATAAATAAAGCTGAGCCAGCAGCTCCTTGTGCCTTCCTGCGGCAGCCATTGAACTTGTCAGTTGGAATTTATGTTATTGCTTGTTTTCTCCCTAACCATTGCGTGTTTCTTTCACCTGTCCAGGTGACACAGGAGACGCAGCAGATCCTGGAGGGACGTGGCTTTGAGCTCACCTGCCGCGGCAGTGTGGATGTGAAGGGTAAGGGCTCTATGATCACCTATTTCCTCAAGGGCAAGAAACCCATTGAAGTCAAGGAGGAGTTGGCCAAGGCCGAGATTGAGCCACCAAAGACTCTGACGTTAAGCAAGGAGCCGGAGAAGACAATCAGCGATGCTGAGAAGCAACAGGATTCGGTTAAAGAAGATCCTACGGAGCAGGAGGATGACCTACTGCCCTCGCCGGACATCGATCTCAATTCCAATATGCAAAATCTGACGGCACAGAGAAGGAAATCCCTCTGCCGGCAGCACAACATCTCCTCCTCATTTGGAACTACAGTAAGCAGCTCCACTGGCATCACTCCCAGCATATCCAACAGCTCCAGTGTGGTCACCATTGGAGCCCTGCCCGCCATCCTTCGAGGTGGTAATCCTGCCTCGAATCCCACGGCCACTGACAATTGCTCGGAGTGCGGGGGAGCCAGTAAATCTCTGGCCACGCCCACTGCACCGCCAAGGACACTGGTGGCGGAACTCAAAGATGAGATAGCCAGGGATGAGAAGATGGGTCTGAAGGACTCCATTGAGAACCTAGAGATTCTGCTAAAGAACAACATCAGTCTGTCGGATTTGAGTAACAAGCAGCAGCAGAATCTTCGTGGAGAAAGTGCGTCCACTACAACGACCCTGCGAAAGAGGGACACCATTGTCAGCTTCAATGTGACGGAAACGGTGACCACCACTGCAACTCCGTTCTCCTCCTCATCCGGCTCCTCGACCTGCTCTTCGCAACAAAAGAAGCGCAGATCGGTGACCACCATTGCGGCCAGTTGCACCACATCCACCACGATGCGTCTCCTGTCCAACGAGAGTCAGAGTTCCACACAAACGGCACCGGGAACTCTAGAGAGTTCTGTGCCCGGACAATCCTCCACGGAGACCTCCTCCCAGGACTGGCAACCACGAACGGCCACGCTGGAACCCAACCGGAGTCCCATCAAGACCTCGCAGTCGATGAGTCCCATTGGTCAGCTGACCACCGAGGTGTTTGTGCTGCCCAACAGCCGGAGCATGGTGCTCATCAGCAGCAGCAGCAGCACAAACGGAGGCGGTGGATCAACACTGGGCCTGGGCACAGGAGGTGGAGCCAGTAGCCCGAGGACTGGACTCCTTCAGGATGTCAGCACGTAAAGGATGCGCAGGCAACCGTGTAAATATGTACAAATCCGACGGGCTTAGAGGTAGGAGTAAAGGTAGTGTTAGTTGTGGTTATTGGATAAGTTTAGGTTGTATGTTAGCTTGTAGATTGATTGGGCTTGCCAGTATTCGGTACAGATGAACTTCTATAAGTTGGAACTGAAACATCTTAACTTAAATAACTAAATAACTTTCTTTTAAATACTTAATTCACAAATTTATATACAGAGCTGATTTTCCAACTTATAGGAGTTCATTTTGTAGCCGTTTCTCTTCCCTTCCCCCCATTATATGATCTCGCATTTATTGTAGCTTTACGTGTTGTTCCTCAGTTAGCGTTTCAGGGCACCAAATAAACATAAACGTTTCCATATCACTCAGAAAAGTAAAGTACGAAAGCAAAGTCTTGCACTTCAACGGGGTACCAAAGAGCATTGAGCATTAGGTTGTAAGTGAGAGAAGGATGGAGGTCCTTTTTTTGGCAAGGAGTGTAGGTGTGTAAGGTTCCTATGTGCGTAAGTAGGTAACTTGGCAGACATTGCATTAGTTTGTAAAATATAAAGCGGAATAAGTGTGTGCAAAGAAATCGAATTTAAAATTGTTTATGGTAACAGAAAAATTAAAGTATTAAATGTTTGAGGGGGAATGCAACCCACTAACTCCTTAAAAACTAATTTCATTTAAATATATCAAGTATTATAACCTTCTCGAAACTCTAAACTATATTTATTGCATTCCCCTTAAAACACTTCTAAGCCCTCTTGGACAGCTTTCATCAGAAACTAAATATACTTTTCCCTTACCATATCAACAAATAGTATTTTTCCTAGCTGTCCCTAACTATTGTTTTCATTACCCAAATCAGAAATCTGTCAATTGAAGTCTGTTGATTACGAAGAGCAACATGAAACCTATATTCAACTGTTGCACAATGATATTTTCTAAGGCCTAAGGTAATATTAAATGAGTATAAAATACGAAATAACGTTAAATGTTAAAGCAGCATCGTTTATGTGTAATGTTAAATGTGTTTCAATGTCTGTATGTCTCAATGTTGCTGAAAGCATCATCACTATATATATTAAAATAATTATAATACTTAAATTGATGCAGTATATATATATATATAAATTATGCGTAAAACCAAAGGAAAAAAACAAACAAAATTCTCGCTGTGATTTCTATGAAGAAAATGTAAGGATGCATAAATTATTTTATAACCTTTTGTTACTTAGTTTTAACTCGCAAATTTTACGAAAGCCTCTCGGCCGCCACCTTTTGACTACGCCTCCAGCTACGAACTATAATTTAACAGAGTGCGCAGTATATCCTATATATAAATATATATAGTTTATAAATAAGTGTATCTATATATCCGACTCGATGTTGATTAGCTTTGATGTTCAGTTTGAAGTTGAAGATAAGGCCAACCCAAGTATAAGAGACCCCACGTCAATGTAAGTGTTTCATTGTCAACCGAAAGAAATGTAAAACAAAATGTGTTAATAAATGGCGCTATTAATTTGGAAACTCTACAGTCTAGAAATTATTTATTAGATCAAATCAATAGCATCGTAGTTGTTATATATATTTACAGCACTCCAACTGAGGGCCCCTCAAAGTTTTCTGGCCCGTCGCCAAAGGCAATAGTAACCCAGGAGATGAAACCCAAAGAACAGACCTACCATGGCCATGATATTCCTATAGAGATTACTCTCATTGAAGCTGTACTTGTCCAGCACATCCTGGCCAGTATGGAAGCAGGGCAAATCGGCACTCTCCTGGAAGCAGGCTGTAATTATAGCAAAATATTAAATTCAAGTAAGTGAAAGAAGTTCCTCAAACACACTTATATTCTGCACACCGGACCACTGAGCTATGGTCATGGCCTCATTGGCATAAAGCATCCAGGAAAGAAATTGTGTCCACCAAAAGGCCACAGGTAGAGAGCTGTAAAGGTAATCCTTTTTATGAAGGACTTAAAAATAACTTCTATTAATCGACTCACTTCACTTGAATAAAAATACCAGAGGTGATCATAAATATATAATCCAATGGCACCAGGTAAGCCATTGCCAGGGGAACCGAATTGAAGGCTGTGGAGAAGAAGCAACCGCAAGCGGTGGCCACATTCATTACCAAAACCACACAAATGGCAGTCACTCCAAAGGCATAAAATGTGGACCTCAGACCCGTCAGCCAATAGCAGATAATGACAAACAAAAATGGTTCAATTATCATTCCAGGTAACTGAAATTTAAATAAGAAAGAGAGGTAAGATATACATTAATTAAATAAATATTTAATTAGAGTAAAACTAGAACAATTGCGCGTGTTATGTCTTAGTCACTTTCCAAGATAACTCTTCTTTCTTTGAAGTTTAATGATACCCAAAGATTCTTGGGATAAAAGTAGTTTGTTGATTAAATGTGTGCTCTTATCAGAATGATAAAAAGACTTTTATTTATTTGCAAACATAGTCAAGTTGGTTAAAGTGTTAAGAGAAGAATTTGTTCAATGATTTTAAAAATTTTAGAGCATATTCATAAACCATAAATAGTACTCACCATAGCCAATATATTGGCGGTATAATATTGTCCCGTGGAATACAATCCCGAGCGTGTCTCCCTCATGAACAGAGGGAATCCCTGGGGGAATAGGTTAAGCACAGAGTACATGGGATGGTAAGTATTCTCCGATATCATGATAAAGAGGGCTCCCTGGACCGCCTGCACTCCAAGTTGCGATGGTTCCGTGGTGCCAGCAAAGCAGGCGCCTATGATAAAAGCCATGGCTATCTTTTGGATGAATCGCATCCATTGTATAGTAGGATCCCTCAGCAGGGTCAGCGATGCCCTCAGCCAGACCACGTGGAACCGCTTGTACCAGGGCACACCCCGGAAGGATTCCACCTCAGTGTCAAAAGGGAAATTCCCGGACTGTGCCATGTGAATCTCCAGATTCACCAACATATCCCGCTGCTTGGCCGCTGAACTTACAGCAAACTGATCGCATAAATGCTGAGCAGATCGTTGCGAAGCCTGCTCATAGCCAGGATCTGTGGCCAGGACTCCAATCAAAAAGTCTGCTGGATTGTAAGCCTCCGGACAATAGTATCCATGATTGGCAAAGAAGCTCAAAGCATGCTGAGGTGATCCTGTAAAGGCCACTCTACCATCGGCCAAAAGCATCACATTGTTAAAGTTGTCAAAGAGCTGAGAGCTGGGCTGATGGATAGTGCACAGGATGGTGGTTCCCTTCTGGGCCAATTCATACAGTGTGGCCACCAACTGTTGGGCACTGAAAGAGTCCAGGCCGGTGGTGGGTTCGTCACAGAAAAGGATCACCGGATTGTTCAGCAGCTCCACGGCAAAGGCGAGTCTTTTGCGTTCTCCTCCTGATAGAACCTTCTTGTCATCCCCACTGCCAATCCGTGTGTGGGCAGCGGAGAGGAGACCTGTTCGCTCCAGCAATTCATTAATGATGAGGCGACGCTCCTCCTTGGACACTCGACGATCCAAGCGGAGATGGGCCTAAATGGATGAGAGATTATCAGATATTTCGAGAGGTTTCTACACAAAATCTCTCCTCTCTAGAGATTTATAAAGCAAACAAACTCACCATAAAGTTAAGATGCTCCAGCACCGTCAGTGATCCAATGAAGAGATCATCTTGATAGACATAACCACTGATGCGATGCATGAAGGGCCCGATGCGACGGCCGTTAATCAGAATGTCGCCTTGAACCACAGTCCCGGCTGCATTCCAGATCCCAATGCAAATGGAGCAGATCGTGGCGAGATAATGAGACAATGGTTAATGGATAAGATATCTTATCGGAAACTACTAAGTTGTACATACTGCATGCTACTTACCCGGCTGTCGAAAGGCCAAAGTCGACATAAGTGTTGTTTTCCCGGAGCCACTGTGAATGAGAGATGAGATGTGGTGGTTTACGTGTGGAATCTCCATAGGAATCTTATCGCTCTACTTGATAATCTGTAGAGGCAAAGCAACCATCTTGACATACAAGTTGGCACCTTTTTGGGCATCATGTTCTTTTCCACTTGACTGGGGATATATCGATTTCTTGGCCGGCTTACCTCGAGCCCATTAGAGCCATCAGAGTGCCCGGTTGAATGGCCCCCGTTGAGTTATTGATGATCCGCTTCATCCGCTGCCCGGAGCCACCCACATTGGTGTATACGCAAAGATCCCGCCAGACCAGAGTGGCTCCCTGCTCCGTGGGTGACCATTTGCTGTAGCTCCTCAAGGGTAGACTTCTCTCCGAACTGTTCCTTTTCGATAGCTTTGGAGTGCTATCCAGACTGGGCACCTCGATGGTGGCACCCACAGGTCCCACCAATTGCAGCTCATGCTGCTCTCCAGGCTGTTCCAGAGGCTGCGGTGCCTCCACATCAATCAACTTGGTATCAGAATCCGACATTATAACTGAAGCTTATCCTATGTTTAAGAGACTAAGTTCTAGGGGAGCGTTTCACGAACCGAAGCGTGCCGCTGATGGGCACCAACTAAACAAGAGCAGAAACTGCTGAGAAGTTTGTCGCCAGGTAAACTGACAGTAAGATAGACAGGTACAGTAAGCTACAGGTATAACGAATAGTAACCAACGTTAGGAATTAACACAGAATTAAGTATCTTTTTCTAGATTTTACTTACTATACTTAATGTTATTTAATAGTTAGCAGTTCCAAAGGAAAACTATAACTTTAACTATATTATATAGTTTCTCACACCCTGACCTTACTGTACTGCTCTGCTCTCAGCAATGCAAATAAAGCTTAGTGTGGAAACTGCTGGGCCACCTCGAGGGGTCTCCCAGGTGAGTGGGAAGCATAGCAATCTTTAGGGTGGCCCTGGCAGCCAACGCATTCGATCGTCTTGCAGTTTACCGACCGCTCGGGAAGCAGCGGACTTAGACAGCGGCTCCAATTACCATTTTGCCATGGCCAATAATGGTGGGAACAGCAACAGGAGGAGGCGGTGTAAGAGGAGGCACTCCAGGCCAAGCCACCGGGAAGCCCCGCAGCGCCAGAGGCTACTCAAGCCAGAGCAGCCAACGGGAAAACCGCGGAGCACTTGGAGCGCCGGCGGATGGAAGCCTATAATTCTCGTCTCTGTTTTGCTCGCAGTATTCGCAGGGAATTCGCACAAAGAGAGAACAGAGAAATTGATTGAGAAATAAAAGTCAAACTAAGCAAGAGTAATTCTCACACCTGGGAATGCACAATAAATTACACAAAGAGAGTGTTTGATATAACAATTTGTTATTTCCAACCATTTCTAATAAAAGTAATTTTAGCAGAATGTAAAAGAATATATAATAATAAGTTAAATATTAAATGGTTTGAGTTTAAACAAGAAAGGCAAATATCTTTGGGACCTTGCACTTCGCAATTGAATAATAGGAACGAATCGAAAATTAATCATAGAATATATATTTTCATATTCAATTTTATATTCCACTTTTTTGACAAATCAAGGCTTAAAAAACTCATAACTAAGCCAAAAAATCACTAATATTAATTCGGAAAGCGGTTCCATGTCAGTTGGTTTTTAGCAGGTTGATAAATCTGCTTACCAAATTTAACATTTTAAAAAATTCAAATTTTTATCAAATTTTCAACATTTTAACCTCCTAACAAATTTTGAAATTTGGAAAAAATTTCAACATTTTTGCTTCCCACCGGAAATTGCTTAATCGATTCAGCTGTTGATGCTGATTTAGAATATAATATAAATATAAAGGGTCAGAAATGGCTTCTTCACAGCCTTACAAAATTCTGACTAAAATTATGATACCCTTGCAAGGATATAAAGAACATAAATATTTAAGCTTAAAATACTATAAAAGTTTAAGGATTATAACATGGAATCTATTATATAAAATATTTTAGTTATTTATCTAAATTTACCCGAGTATCTACAAGATTTTTCTACATAAATACCTTTTTATACCTTTTCAAAAAGTTAATATCTTTGTTAAATAACGTATTGATTCTAGTAGTCTCTTGAAACGCATTTTTTATACGAAATTCAAAAGGATCTTTTTTATTACTTATAAATCGGACCAGTTTTATATTTATTTCTAACTCAGATCAGGCATTATCCCATAATTATGCAATATGCTATATTTTTTCGGAGTAAACCATAAATATAGCATATCTTTGGGCTGCCTGAGTTTCGGAATAACAATATTTTGCATTAAATAACTTTGTTTGTACAATAAGATTTATTCCTTTGTTTAATAAATAAAAATAAAGACCATATTGCTTGTAATAATAATATATAAATTAACCTCTTATAAATAAGGAAAATATAAATATTTAAAACCCATATACCAGCTGATTAACCGTCTTCACTTAAATAAATCAAATTAATCGAAATCGCAGTTTAAAATAAATACCAAAGCTGTTGGGAAAATCCAGGTGCTCAGTTAAATAAATAAAAAGAAAAAAAAACGATAACGATTAAAGTCACAGCAATTGAAGGCAATCGGGAGGCACAGTATCAGCTTAAGTGACTGATAAGCCGATTTTGAATGGACTGAGGCTGCCTTTTCAGCTGCCAGTTGCCGGCTAATAATTCTGCGTACAAGTCGCATTCACGCAGTTGAAATAAATATTATTGTTTTGTATTTTTATCAGTTCAAAATGAGTGCAGTGTAATGAATTAAAATTTATGAAAACAAACATAACGCGACAAAGGAAAAACATTCGATTCGATAGGAAAATCAATAAATCAGAGCATTTATTAAAAGATCATATCGCTATTTAACTAGCCACCAGAAACAGTTATCGCATGAAATGGTAGGCAGTTGTGTAAATCTCAAGTTAATTAGTCTATAATTTAACTTCAATCGATAAGAAAGTTAGAAAATCCCATGAAATACGGACAGACTCTAGGGAAAAATTAAACGAAACACCTTCCCTCGTGTGCTTAATTAAGGCAATTATTTAATAGGTTTTTGGTTTATTAACTAAGACGTTATCTTAGTATATGTCAATACATAGATAAACCTAATCTTGAAAGCAATTTGCAAAACATACAGTCTGAGATTAATGACACTCTGCTATAAAGATAAACCTCTTGAAAACTAATCTTTCAATGCACACCTTTTAAAAGGTAACTGAATTGTAATGTAAATATTATAAAAAGGCGTTCTGACAAGAGCTTGCACTTTAAAATTGAAATTGTAATTCCATTGAAGTTATTCCATTGAGTGACTTGTTGGTTAAACAGAGATTAACTTGAAGGGAAAAGTATTCAGTAATAAAAGAGACTGTTATGAAAATGTATTTTTCATTGAGCAAGAATACCCCTTTGTTAGGGTAGAATGTATAAGATCTGGTCTGTTGATAAATTCGCTTGACTTGTGATGCAAATATTTCAAAAGTAATCTCTTGATAAGAGCTGCAACTTTACAGATCCTAAGATAAGACTTGGAAAAGCAAAACAAACATCCCGAGATTATACAGTTTTCCATATAGTCAGTTGCTAGGGTAAACATATATTGTACAACCTAATCGAATGACAAATTTGATTTGAATTTAATTAAATTGCAAATTGTATACTATACTCACTTACTTATTGCTTGTTTAAATTAACATTCCTAACAGATACAAGTGAATTAATTAAATTGTCATGATAATATTAAACATAAAGCTATTCTATTGGCGGTTAAAATTCAAATTCTAAAAAGCTTAACAGCATAAAAGCTTTCACAACCCTTGACAAAAATAATATTTAACAATCGTCGGAGAGAACGCGTGTGCGCAGAGTAAAAATGAGCGGCGCTGAGGTGAGTGGCGTTTATTGAGTTTTTTATTTTACTCACAAAACGGTTTGTTTTTGTTTTGATTCGCGGCTAAATTTATACCTTAAAAAAACAAAGTGCTAAATGCCGGCTGAGAGTGACAAAATTACAAAAATGTGATGTGACTGCGACAAATCGCAACGAATTCATATAAATTAAACAAATACGATTCGCTGACTGATTACGTATACTTCTATAACGCGGAGAGCAAATATCGCAAAAAACAAAAAACCTTAACAAAAACATGCTCTAAGTGACCTTGAAATCTGTGCTGGTGATGGCCTCAGCATGCGGCAATTATGTTTGTTTATATTACTTATATTTGCTGTTAGTGTTTTGTATTCATTTTCCTGAAATGCAAAGTGAATTATTCAAGAAATATAAAAATTTCTAACTATAGTGTAACTCAAGTAACTGTCCCATCAAACGTATTGTTTACAATTCTCAATAACACCGTGTCAACATGTGCGGCTAAAAATGTTTCCCAGTGAAGGCGACTCTTGTGTGCTCTCACATAACACTTTCTAGGAACAATTAAAACAGAAATCAATATCAACAGCTGAATATGCAAAATTTTACTAGGGAAAATAACTTTGGAATTTGCGAGTGTTAACCAACTTTAACATTAAATTTTTTTAGAGAAATTTTAGACTAAAAATAATCATTGCTTGTACAAGTTGAAGTTGTATTAGCAAGTATTTATATGACAATTAATATATACATATTAATATTACATTATTCTTTGCCTGTTTCCTCAGTGGTTTATATCCTGTTTCTCCTTAAAAAATTCCTGTGACATACAGTTATCATATTTACTCGTTGAAATGACCCATAACCCTTTTAAAGCCACTGAAACAACCCTTGAAAGAGCATTAAGTTCAGCTTTACCAGAAACAAGTTTCTAATGCTAAGTTTATTCTCTACATCTCGCTCTCCCTATTGAAACGTTGTCATTGCCAACATCAAAATTAAACGTAAATGGAAAATGGATCACAAAAGATTGTATACTTTCAGGCACCGGAAGGAAATGCGGCACCGCGACGCCATAGTCAGATCAGTCAGAATAGTGAAAATAGCGAAACTAGCACCGGTGGCAATGTCCAGGTGCAGCGGGAAAACTCATCTCCACGAACCGCCTGCCAGTGGGTGTGGCATGTGGTAACATCGATCTCCGTGGAGCCCACAATGTTCCTGTACATGTTCGCCTTCATGATCACCTCGGTCGTGGAGCAGAATTTCTACCTATACAAGTCATGTCGCGTGAACAACAATTTCACGGAGGAGGTTTGCCGTAATCTCAATCGACCGGAGAACAAGGAATTCAAGGATCAATCGCTGCAAACCAATGCCTGGTTCCTGCAATGGAACGACATCTCAGCCCACATCTTTCCCATTTTATTGGCCCTGTTTCTGGGCTCCTTTTCGGATCGTCGTGGAAGGAAGTTTCCCCTGCTTATGGGCCTGGTGGGGAAATTCATCTACTCCTCCATGGTGGTGGTCAATGCCAGGATGCCCACATGGCCGGTGGAGAATATTATCTTTTCGGCCACACTGCCATCGGCTTTAACGGGTGCAGATGTGGCTATATTTGCGTCCTGTTTTGCCTACATCTCGGATATCTCGACGGTGCAGCAACGCACAATTCGTGTGACTATCCTGGATGTGGTCTACCTCACGGCCATGCCCACAGGTGTGGCTCTAGGATCACATCTATTTTACAATGTCTTTGATCAGTCGTATGCGGACATGTTCACAGTGAATGCATCCCTACTGGCAATGGCCATCATTTATACACTGTTTGCCCTAAAGGTGAGCCATCGATATCTAACTATTTTGTATAAAAAATTCTATATATGTATGTATATTTATATATTTCCTTAAATTCCCTTCTCCTTTTTGCAGTGGCAAACCACGCCAAGACAGCGATCTCTGAGAGAGCTTGGCTGGTGTGGCTTTTGGGGTGACTTCTTTGACAAACAACACGTAAAGGACTCTTTTACGGTGTTGGTAAAGCCACGCAGGGCTCACAGAAGAAGCTTCCTGATTATCCTGCTGATCAGCATGACCCTGTACACATTCCAGCGTGATGAAGGTAGCTATCTTTACATGTATACCCTGGACAAGTTCGACTGGGAGGTTAGCTCCTACAGCAGCTTCAAGACTTTCAAGTCTTCGGCATATGTGATTGCCATGCTGCTCGGAGTGCCACTAATGAACAAGGTTTTAAAGTGGAGGGATACGGTAAGTGCTAATGATAGTAATTGTAATTTATATATATAAATAATAAATCTATAAATTATAGATCATCATCTTTATTGGAGCCTGGGCTCACTCGATAGCCCGTCTGTTCTTTTACTTTGCCAGCAATACGGATCTCCTTTATGCCGGAGCCGTAGTCTGCAGTCTGGGCCCTATAGTGGGTCCCATTATCAGGGCCATGACCTCGAAGATAGTGCCTACCTCAGAGCGTGGCAAGGTGTTTGCCCTGCTCTCTGTTTGTGATAATGCAGTGCCCTTTATCAGCGGTGTTTGCTACTCGCAACTCTATAGGGCCACCAAAGACACAAATTATGGAGGAAGTGTCTTTCTGCTGACCATTGCCACCCAAATGACTGTCTTCCTGCTTATACTGTAAGTTATTTAACTTGTTTTCATTATTATTTTATTTTAATTGAATATAAATTCCTTCAATTAGTTGCATTCATATTGTGCTGGGCAAAAACTCACTGGCTGTGCCGGAGGTTCCGGAAAAGGAAAGCGGCCTTATTGCCCAAAAGCAGGAGTTACCGGCCAATTCAGAAGAGGCGGAGAAATATTAATAGGTCCTTGCATTTACTCTTAAAATGTTCCTAACAAAAAGACATAAAGCCTGAAGAGGGCAACTATTATTAGAAAAGGCAAAAACAAAAAACGTCACAATATATTATCAATATTACTATTATTTTTCATTGCGTTTTTATCATGATCTTCATATTTTTCATAAATAAATAAATCAGTTTGCAGAAATGTATGACAATTGACTTGGTGGTCATAATTTATTTTACAAAAAATAAAGCCCCTTTAGGGGACCCTCTCTTTTCCCACTGATTTGTGGGAATCATTTGAAATTTATCTACATATATTTCCAAAATATAATAAAAATCAAAATAAACTCACTTCCAAATCACTTGTTCTTGGATAAAGTGCGCTGCTTCTCCGCATGCTCCACCACCTGTTCGTCAACGAAAAGACCCTTCCTCCTTCGGACACTGTCCATGTAGAGCTTGGCCCTGTTGGCCGAATCGGCCTTCTCGCCAAAATGCATTAGCTCCTCCTCGGTGGTGGGCAACCAGAAAGGATCAATGTCGATCACCTGTAAGAAAAAAATAACAAAAATGTGAGTATAAACGTGTGGTGAATGGCCTTCCGGGAAATAATTTAGGCACTTGAGACGGTACAAAAGGACAAGGCGTCGCTGCGTCTATGCGCCTGCGCCTGCGCCTCGCACGGGATTGAATTTGGATTTGGAATTTTGGGTTGGGCTCTCTGGGCTGTGTGGATTTTACGGCGCAGCCCTTTGTCCCTTTGCCAGGGAAAGCGTGCATTTTCACATCTCCATTGTTTGGGCTCGAGAGGTTGCTGCGACAAAGGACTCGTCGCTTAATGACTTTCAAAGGACGCACACAGGGACATGCACATTGCGCGTTACGTGATAAGGCAGGCGCGCCAGGATACGCAGAATCCTCAATGGCGTGAAGAGCATACCATTCCCTTCGCTTGATTGATGATTGCCTCCTGCGAGGCGAACCACTTGAGAATCTATGGTGTGAGATCTGCATTGTTTTCTCTTCCTTTTTTCTAGCAAGGACTCGTCGTCTCAGCGGGCGGGTGTCGAGCGGTTCGTTGGAAAACCCAAAGCCCAGTGAGTTCTCCCACTCTGCCAGGATTCGGTTTGAATACCTCATCAATGACTGGAGAGGCGAGAGCTTGCTCGAAAAACTGATTGAGACGCTGAGGCATTGGCCTTTTGTCAGCCAGAGAAACTTTATACTGCACAGTAAATAAATACTAAAGAGATTTAATATTAATTTTAAATTATTTATAAAAACTGAATCAACGATCTATGATCCTGTATTTTTAACGGATAATGTTATAATAACATTTTACGCTTTGGAAATTAAACAAAAACTTTTTAAGTTCTTTTAATAATATCATTATAAAGAACTATAGTATCATATCATACTTATCCTACTAGAATAACCTTGGATTTCTGATCAGTGTATGTTCTGGGCCATCTGTTCGCACTACGCTAAACTGCGGGCCCTCGAACATCTCTTCGCAATCCCATGTAGATCATTATCGGGCACAAAGTTTCGCTTGTTTAACAACAACCAAACAACGCCAAGTGCGGGGTTGGTATCGAGGAGGTAGGAAGAAACTATAGGGAGCCACCAAGCAGTAGTCCTCGACAAGGTAAGGCCAGGCAATCCCAGTTTCACAGTCCGCAATCCCTGTCACAACACAAAACACACGATTTCAGATCTCTCGCACTGAGCTCTTGCCATCCTTTTTTGCAAATGGTTCTGCGCATGCGCAGCAGCATCCCATCTTATACTCTTATCCCCCATTCCAATCCTCTGCTCTCCCACTCCAATTCTCGAACACAAAAACGGAGGAGACCCTGCGGCAGCTGAAGTGCTCCAGAAGTGCGCAGAACTTGCGTCTGAGCCGGGCCAGACAAATGAGCAGCCAGGCAGATGAGTGCACCGCCAAAAAAATATAGTAAATAGGAAGGATTTTTGCTCGTTTATAAGAAAGATATTGCTAAGATATTCTTTGATTTTTATACCCCTGCGAAGTAGTATAATTTTAGTCAGAAGCTTGTGATGATGTGGAGTCATTTCCGACCCTATAAATTATATATATTCTTGCTCATATATATTATTTATATTTATATTATATATTATATATATTCTTTGTCAGAATCACAATTAATGATCTTTGGACCAAGTTTTGGTTAATTTTTTATTTGAACGATTGACCGAATTGCAATAAATACTTTGGTTTCCCTTACAGGGTATTATTGATTTAGTAAGAAGCTTCGAAAGTAGTGAAGGAGTCATTTCCGACCCTATAAATCATATATATTCTTGATCAGCATTAAAAGGCGAATCTTTCTAGGCAGTTAGGAAAGGAATTTTTTTTTACAAATTTTTCAACATTTTTTAAGGGGTTAAAATTAAAAAAAAATTGTCAAAAAATTGAATTTTTTAAATGTTAAATTTGGTAAGCAGAATTATTAACCTGCTAAATACTAACATGGGACCGCTTCCCGAATTAAAATTGGTGAGTTTTTGGCTTAATTATGAGTATTTTAAACTTTGATTTATCGAAAAATTGTCACATGAAAATATTGTTTCAAATAATGCTAATGTTATAGGCTTTGTTATGGTAACTTCAAAGCTACCCGAATTGAATACAGAATCAAATTAAATTGTAAAACAATCTCCTTATTAAATAATCCTATTTAAGTATGAAAAATCTTTAATCAGCGATCCTTTTTCCAGTGTCTATATATGTGTATACCCCTCCAAGAAGGTGGTTATCCACACTAATGCAACACCACGCTCCAGATTATAGCCAAGTCAAAGGCTCTCCCTACCCCTTGCCCCTCCTCTGATGCATCCTCCCTACACCTTCACCTCCGGAATTCTCCCATCTGGAAAGGTAGAAATATTAAGAAAAATATTGAAGCAGCCGCGAAAACCAAAACAAAAATCCAACAAGCAAACGACGTGACATCAACACACATACTCAGACTCAGTTCAGTTTCGAATATATATAGTGTGTCTGGGTAGGGTATATCTCTTCTGTATCTCCATCTCTTTGGGCACACACGTGTTTCGTATCTGTGTGTGCTTATGAGTGGGGTACCTGTGTATGTATGTGTCTGCGTATGTGTTTACCTGTCCGACCGCGCGCGGTTTGTATGCAGGTAATTTACGCGGCAGCTACCGAAATACGCTGCCTGTCCGTCTGTCCGTCTGTCTGTCCGTCGGTCACCGTGTCCGTCCAGCGTCCAAAGACCAAGTTGAGATTATTATCGCGCGCCAGAAACTGGCTGAAAGACTGCTGGTGAAAGAGACCGGGCCGAGAGAATAACTCGATTCCGAATCGAGTCGACTTTTATACGAGTGAAGACCTGGGTCTTTAAGAGCGTTCTCCGGCGAACGGACAACAGCGGACAACGAACAACGGACAGCGGCCAGCGATGAGCGTCATTTTGACAGCCAGCGAGCGGACAATGCAAACCACGTTCCACTTAAGACCAACAAAAACAGGGAGGGAGTTGGGAAGGAGTTGGTAAGAAGGGCAGCAACAACAACAGCAATCCTTTTGGCCACTTGGATAAACACTTGCCCAGGCATGGATATATTCCAGAACAGAGAGATTAAATACTATTAATTATATTATATATTAAAATGTAAGTAAGACTAGGATTACCATTCTAGATTCCTAAGACCTCTCTTGTTCTATAATTCTTTGAAATTTCTTTATATTTAATAACAAAATTTAAGAACTTTTCCCCTTTTGGAAAGAACTCCACTCTTTTCTCCCTGTGCACCTGTGTGCGTTTGTGTTTATTCGCACCAGGCAGACTTTAGGGCACTGCCGTGCAATCCTCCTTCCCCTTGGACACCCTTCTCCGCCAGAATAACCTCCAACTCCGCCCTTTAAAAACCACCTTCCTACCAAAACGCTTGGAACGGGGAATGGACTGTCTCCAGCGTGGTAGACTTTCCCTTTGCTGGGGATTCGGGGGCAGGGTCTTGTGGCAGGTATACAAAACGAGTTATCAGATTATTTGTTATTTGTCTTGGTTCTCTGCTCACATTTAGTCGCTGTTGTTGTTGTTGGTGTTATGCTTTTGAAGTAGTTCCAGAACCTCAAGACTTGCATGCAAAGCGCGACAAAGCCACAGAAATAACAACAACAACCAGAGGCAAATCATATGCAACCGGGTTCAACTCCAACTCCTCTGGAGACCAAATAAAAGAAGCGAAGGAGAGCTCAGGCCGAAAGTAAGACCAGTAGCCAAAGTTGTTATGTTATTTTACTTTATATTTTTTTTGGTAGGCTGCCGGTCTTGACCCTCTTCCTGTCCCCTGCACACACACGTAATCATAATAACAATCTTCAGGTTCATCAAGTGGCCAGCCAGCAGAAGAGATGGGACTTTGGGACGTTTTGGGAAGATGTGGAAGATGTGGAAGTGCAGCAGCCGACAGAGGATTGAAGCTGGAGCATGGAGCACGCAGCTCAGATGGATGGATGGAGGGGGAAGCAAAAAAAAAACAAAAGGAAGCACAAAATTAAATAATAACAAAAGCGCGCAAGACAGTAGCCAGCACAGAAAAAGAGATATTTGATGGTTAGACAGTGACAAACATTGCCATAAGGCAGCAAAGTATGTGGATTTTGAAAATATTGAAAAATAATATAATAAAGAAAGTCTTAATATGATCTTATAAAGGTGGTACATATTAAAATATAATGTCCTAAGATATCAGCACTAAAATGCATCTAAGATATAGAAATATAACTGAGAAATAAAGAACTATTACATAGAAATAATTAAATTTTTTTTAATTATTATGAAGTTTCCAAAAAGTTTAATATTTGCAGATGGGTGTTTATAAATGTCAACTCAATGCAGAAGTTTTTATACCCTTCCAGTTTGCAATTGAATATTAGGATCGTATCGGAATTGAATCATAACTGAGCTTAAAAATCACATCATTTATCCATATTTTTATATGAGAATTTTTTGACAAATCTATGTTTTAAAAACTCATAACTAAGCCAAAAATGCATTAATTTCAAATCGGAAAGCGTTCCCATGTTAGATTTTACTAGGTTAATAAATCTGCATACCAAACCTAAAATGTAAAAAAATTCAAAATTTAATCTAAATTTTAGAAAATTTTAACGATTTAACCCCTTATAAAAAATGGAAAAAATTCAAAATTTTATTTTCCTAAAAGACATTGCCAGATCGATTCAGCGTTTGATGCTGATCAAGAATATATATGCTTTATAGGGTCGGAAATGACTTCTTCACTACTTTTGAAGCTCCTGATTAAAATTATAAAACTCTGCAGGGCATAACAATTAATTTTAAAATATTTCGTTTTTCCCGAAGAAACTCCTTAGAACTCTTGATAGTTTTCATTATGAAACGCACTGTCCCAACCTAGTGCATACTCTTGAGCCACTGCCACTGCTCAGTCTTAATTCTGGCTACGTGAAGTGAAAACCCTAAAGGCAATGGCTACAAAAATTATGATATATGAAAAATGAAAATTAGTTTTTGTTCTTTTGGGTTTATGTTTCATGTGGCTGAAGCTACCCAGCTACCAAGTTGCATCTTCAATCTTGCAGCAGCTCCAAAGCTAAAAGGTCATCCGCGGAGATGATTTCTTGTGGCTGTTGATCTGTCGAAGATGCAGAGATGCTTAACGAACTTATTGTGGGCCATGATGCGGCAAGAAATCGGAATGGCTTTTTGGGGAATGTTAACTTTAGAGCCCCCTTCTCTCCCCCTCTGTCTCTGTGGGTTAACCCAACCCACCTCTGGGCCCTTTTCCCGTTTTCTTTTACCCCCAACCAGAAGTTGGCCACTCGAGTGAAGTTGACGCCTTCGTTGTTATTATGGGCACGTGACAACTGCGCCCACGGCTAAGAGCCCTGCCCACTCAAGGTACAAAAAAAAAACAACAAAGTTAAAAGGTGATGAGGGGGAAAGGTGTAAAGGGGGGAGGAGGAGGCCACTGGCCAACACACACACACACACATGTGGGCGTGTACAGAAAGTGGTGAAAAACCAAGCGTTTTAATTGCTCGAGCGAAAGGTAAGCTGAAATCCTAATTGTTTTCGCTTTACCTTCGCCCAGAATAATGATGGAAATTGTAATCGAATATCTTTCAGATACTTTTCCACTTGTGCTGGCTAAACTAGTTTCCGTTAAGATTTCCACACACAGATAATACCAAACAGATATTGACTAGTTACAGAGGAAATAAAATTGAAATGTTTGTTACTTAAGAAAATCGTAATAAAGACCATTTAATAAAAATAAAAATTCTGCGCTTAAAATGGGTTTTGAATATCATTGATTTTTCATTTAGAACTTCACTTTAATTTCTTTCTCTGTTAAATGCATTGCCCCTTTAGTTTTCCCTCCCTCCCTTCCCCCCTTTTTCCACTTTTCCTGCTGTCTGGCGCTGGAAATGCGTAAGAAATTATACGAAGCAACAACATCTTCGACGCCGGGCAAAACTTGAGCTGAGAAATAGAAAATCGCCGGAAGTCATTATACAAAAACTTGTTGTTATCGATTGGTTGGGCGATATGCACTAAAACTATCATAAATACATAGATAGAGAGACTAATACCAATGCAAAATGCAAGCATATTAGTTGTACAGGCGACTTGAATTAACAAAACTATTTTAGATAGAGTTATTAATTATAATAACTACAACTCCCTTTAAACACCTATCTTATTCATACTTATTTCCCTGATTTACTTATTTTTAACTTCGAAATTAAGATTTTCTAATGGCTTCAAGCAAACCCTACTTTTTGTTATTAATACTTTATGTTGAGATTTGCTCATCCGTTTTTCGTTGGCCAAAAATCCCAGGGAAAAGCCATCAACTTGACTGTTAATTGTGGCCCACGACAAGGTCAGAATGGCGAATGGAGAAATGAGAAGGAGGAGAGACTGAACCAAGAGGGAGAGATGTCTGGTCTTGGGGCTTTGGGTTACCCCGAATGGCACACAGCTGCAGCCTCAAATGGACCATATAACTTTCAGTCCAACTGTTGCCAACGAAGTTGCTTCTGTTGCTGTTGCTGCTGCTGCTGCTGCCAGTTGCCTGTTGCCAAGTTGCCACTACTGCTGCCTGTGGTTTAGCTTATAAGACTTCAACAGAAGGTAACAGAAGGCCAGAGAGCAGCGTAAGCTGAGATTTCTATTGACCACAGACAGTCGGCGATAATCTTGGGGAGAAAAGAGCTATACACTGGGAGAATAAGTATTTAAAAAGACCTTTAAACATAACTGAAGCTTGCAACAACTAACACAAAAATAGGGAATAATTGCATGGGTCTTAGAAAGATTATACTTTTTCTTGTAAAATCTTTTGTACTTTTCCCTGTTATTTAAATAAAATTTATGAAAATAGTTTAGCTAATTTTATTCCCTGTGTAAATTGTGATGAGTAGTGAGGGTAACTACAGTGAGGCACGCACATGGCATATGGTCCGACAGGCGCTGCACTTGTGCCCCATCAGAAGCAACAGCTGCTGCAGCAATCTGTGCTCAGATACAGTACGACCTCTCTAAGTACCACAATCAACTACCTGTTCAAAACACACTTTATATTTATTATCCTGATTAGGTAAAAGGGATTTTCAAAGCAATAAATATGATTTAAACCTAGAATACTAGGTCTTCTCTAGGTATAGGACTATTAAACTCTATGTTGTTCAATTTTCTTGTTTTAAAAGCCTTAAAATTAGTAAAAACTGTAGTACAGTAGTAACTCACCTCCCAGTGGCTGAACATGAGCTGGGGACAGGCCAGGCCAGATGTCTGCTTTCGCATCTCCTGGGCAAAGTTGAACGACTCGATCACTGGCAACAGACAGGTGACCGCGAAGTTGCCGCTTCCTTGGGTTAAATCACCGGAGAGGATTTTGCCATGCCGCCGGCCAATTACTGCGTACATTTTACCTGCAAATGATAGTGCAAGAGATATGTTTCTTTGATCAGCTGTTGTTTTCATTTTTTTTTAAATCGTCGTTAGCTAGAAATCTAATTGGAAAAGAGGTAAGAAAAAAAAGGGAAACCTTCACTAACAATGGCCGCCTTTCAGTTGGAGTTCTCAGTTTCTGCTTAATGCTTCTATATAGCCTTTTATTATTTTGTAGTGTTGTTGTTGTTGTTGTTGGTGGTGGCTGGTGCCGGTGCTCGTCTCAAGGTAACTCGTAAACAAATGAAATCTTATCGGGTTTGGCCCATAAAATTGGCGGGCTTTCGGCCGAACAGCGCGCGTTTTTCGCTTGAACTTCCAAGCCGAAGGAGGAGCTGAAGTTGGAGACCCCAGGTTTCCCCCAGGGTCTCTCTTCACTCTCGCAACTCTCTTGATACCCTATACTTGGGATTGGTATAACCAATATGAGGAGAATTTTGTATTTAAAAAACAGAAATATACATTTCATTGATCATATTAAAACATGGATATGTAGATGGCATTTAGTTTCTTTTTGTATTCCCTTTGGGAATAATAACAACATTCTTGGCAAGTCCCTAAAGGATTTAGAATATTTATACTGATAACATTTAATAATTAAACATTTAATAATTATTATTAAATGTAGTTTCAAATGTCTAAAAATTAACCATAACCATAACATTAAGAAATACTATTTTCTCTTATAAAATTACCATTTCTACACCTAAAAATCCCTTGATTTTAGGGAACTTAAAGACTCGGCTTATAAGACTGATCCTCCTTTCAGCTTAAAGACTTTTCTGGATTTTTTTCGTTTTGTTCTTTTTATTTTTTTGGCATGCGCTACAAGACCGAAGCCCGAACATGAGACTGGAGCAGAAACAGTGGGGAATGGGGAATGGGCAACGGGGAGACTCCACCAGGAGGAGGTGGAGTCCAAGTCGTTGGGGCTGGAGCAGGAATTAGTTTCCGGTGCCGTCGAAACAATGACAAAAACAACACTGCGACGATGGCCAACAGAAACAACAGCGGCAAAACGGCAGCAAAAACGGCCAAAAGGATGCAACGGAAGCGGCAAAAGCGAGGTCTCTTTTTTGTTATTTTGTATTATTTTAATTCTGTGTGTGTTTTTTGTGTTTTTTAAGCCCAGCACGCGAGCCAGAGACACCTTGCCATCCGCTCGTTCGCTCTCACTCATACCGGTACGGATGCATCTCATAGATACTCACACACACAAGAGCAGCATCAGCAGCATCAGCAATGGATGCTGCAACCACCAGCGGGAAAAGCAAAAGCAACAACAAGTATGGCCCGGAGAGCGGCAACAACATGTTCATTCATTCATATCCAACCAACGATACGCTCTCTTTCATACTCTCTCATGCTCTGCCGCAGCAGAATTTACACTGAGAAAAGTGTGTATTGCAAAGACAAGAGATTCTTTTAAATTGAAATTATAAGGTAATTGGTTTAAAATAAATAAAAAAGGCATTATATGAAATTATAAATGAACAAAAATTACTAAGCTGTTTAGAACTTCATTCTTAACCAATTCTTTTTAAGCAAATTGCAAATTGAAATTGTTCTTTTATTTTAAAATTTAAACTTTAAATAAATAACGTAATATAAACGTAGTAATATGTAATATAACACTTTCCATGCCCAATATGTATTAAGTTTATTAATGAGTTTTAGAGATTAAAGTTTACAAATTACATACATAGATAGATAGATATATAGATAGATAGATAGATAGATAGATAGATAGATATACAGATAGATAGATACATAGTTTAATAGACTAATAGATATATAGATATATTAATGAAGTATTATAATTGAAATATTAAATCCAAGGATTTTCTAGACTACGTAAAACTTTTCTTTCTGCCATAATAAATAAATAATAAATAAATAAACCTACTATATATAAAATATATATGTTATTATAGAACATTGAAATGCAGTTGATCGATTTTCCAAACTACCTGTATTTAAAATATTTTATTTTAATGGAAATAATAATATAACTGTTTTATATACATATATGAATATATTTCCTTTTTATTTTTATACAAACATTATTTTATAAATTTTGTAATTGTCTCTACATTTATTAATATAATTTTCACTACCAAGAATGTTCCAAGTGCTTCCTACCATTCCCTTTCGCTCAGTGTAAAAACACGTACGCACAGGCAGCGACGCTAGCAGCGCCGTCGTCTCTGGCGTCGGCGTCAGCGACTCTCGTTCGCCGTTCGTTTTTGGTTTTGGATTTTCAGTTTCTGTTTGATCATTTCGAAAAGTAAGTTGGTCGAGCGAACAACGAACAGCGCTGAGCAGCGGAAACGGAAGCGAGGCGAGAGCACACAGCAGCCAGGAGCGAAGAAAGACGAGGCTTCAGAGAGCGAGATAGATAGAGAGAGAGAGAGAGAGACAGAGACGTCGCGGGTGTAGAATTACAAAATAATAAACAAAACATAAAACCCACCAAAAATAATAATTATTTGTAGTGCCACGAAAATAATTCGAGTGACATTTTCGCCACAAATCAATCGATCGAATTCGATTTGAAACCTGATTTGTAGTGTTCGATCGTGTTCAAGTGTGTGTGTTTTTGAGTGTGTTTAAGCCATGGGTTCTGGCCGTGCAAGCGAGAAAGAGCGAGAACACTGATTCGATTCAATTCGATTCGATTCGATTCGATTTGATTCGATTCGCTTTGATTCGAATTCAATTACAAAATCCACCGTAGTGTCAATTACAAACAACAACCGCAAAAAATACAGAGATCAGACAACGAGTGAGTTTGGTTTTGGAAAGAGAGAGATACCACCGAAGATCCGAAAGATCTACAGATCCCGAGTTCCAGAGCTAAAAGCCACATAAATCATGCCTGCGACACTGTTGTGGCTGCCACTGCTACTGTTGCTATCAATCGTTGTTGTTGCAACTGTCGGTGGCACGCGACTGCCTCTGGAAGTGTTTGAGATCACGCCGACTTCATCGGCAACGGAGGATAAGCACAAGGCATTGGAGTACACTGTCTATGATGCCAAGGATCTAGCTGCCGGAGGATCCTCAGGGGTTGTAGCCTCAGCCTCCAGTACAGTAAAACCTCCTGCTGCTGCTGCTGCTGCAACGGAAACCACATTAACGGTGGTTAACATCCCAACGGCAGAGCAGGAATCGCGGCGACATGCGCGACAAATGTTGCAGAAACAACAGCAGCAGCAGCAGCAACATCGCAACAGCAACAACAGACATGGAGGACACGGAGGCGACAAGGATCTGCGTATTCTCTACCAAGTGGGGGTAAGTTACTAAACATATTTCCCTCTCTCTCCAAAAATTCAATTGATTAGCTTACTGGCTAATTACCAGCGGTGTTGCTCGTGCAACATGTTTGCATTGATCTATGCAAAAGCACCAAGCACAAGCAAAAGCACAAGCAACAACAAACTGGCAATGGCAGGTTGCATAATGCAGGCAACGTCGTCGTCGTCAGCAGACACCTGTTCAACTGGTTGCCATTTGTAAAATGCCCACGCCAGCCAATATCAACAACAACCACAGCACCAATATATCTACACAGAAAATAATATCAAGATTGTTAAGATCAATATTTAATAGCAACTTGATAGGTAGGAGTTTCTATTACTAGTCAAATATTGATATTAATATTAATTATTGGTGTTTTTGAGAGGCTTGTGGGAATTATTAGGGTAATTATTAGTGATCTTCATTTGTTAATACAATTTTGAGATGTTCTTAAAGAGTTAAGCAGCTAAATTCCAAGAGGATTTATTTCTGTTCAAATACTTAACAAGATACTTTATATTTCAAACCAATTTACTTTGAGAAATATCAAATAAATTCTCACACAAAATATATGAATAAATACATTACCTTAAATAAGATAATTGGATATGATTTGTGTAAGGTTTCAGAGAAATATAAGGAAGACTAACCTATGTTTCATATAGTTAAATCAATTAGATCTTTATTTGTTTCCCTGCAAATATCAATCTAATTTCTCTCCCTGTAGCAGCAGGTTTTGCAATGCAACTCAGCTTTAAATTTTGTTGTATTTATATTTTTTTTTTGGGCTGGGTCTCAGCTTTTCTCAACTAACTCCGCCTCGGGCCTCTGGCTATATTTAGCAGCCGCCCTATAGCCATTACACTTGACACCCACAAAACCACTATCCATATATCAGCACACGCATATGGCACATTTAATTGCAACAGCAAAGCACACACAACACACACACAACGCACACACAACACACACCAGCTCGCTCTAGATGAAAAATGAAAGTTGTTTGCAGCCAAGAGCTGCTGCTGCTGCTGTCGCATTTGATCAATTAAAGTCGCAATTGCTATATAGCCGAACGATATATGAGAGCAAGATACCAAAACCAATTAGCCGGCCGGGTCAAGAGTTCAATGCTGCTGACTAAGCCGGTTGCTCGATCGGTCAACTTAAAAAAAAACGATATATGTCGGCATTATCTTTCTTACGAAATCCATTACAATGCGAATTCTGATCATAGGTCAAGTCAAGTCAGTTTTTCCCCATTCATTGTTCCACTCCCGATTCCGATTTCGATTCCGAATCCAATTCCTATCCCGATCTCTCTGGCCATAAATCAAGAGGCCGAGAGGCATGCCATATATCATGTATCGGAAATCTATTATGTCAAATGTCATATGGGAAAATAAAAACACGCCCTGTAAATTCGAATTCTGGGTTGGTGTATGGATATATTATTGCATTGCTGCGAGGCCAAGGCGTGAAATATCAACAGTAATCAAAAGGAAAATATTGACAATATAAACAAAGTAAGGAATGGGGCTGGGCATCATAGAGGTTCGACCAGGGAATACTCTTCAGAGAGATCATCATAAGAAGAACTCTCTTTGATCTCATCTATTAAGATGTATTACATCCTTCTAAAAATCAATCTGAAGATTGGTATTATTTGTTCCTAACTTCTTGTTAATATATCCTTTAACCTTTATTTAAGCCAATGTGTTCTGCTTTGGCTTGGCTCATAAATTCTCAAAACCGAATGTCTGCAATAAATTCTAAACGCATATAAAAAAAGCATAACAAAGCAACATCACAACACAACACCTAAAATAGACAAAAACAAATAGAAAAATAGACAAAAAAAAAAACAGAGAGATAGAAAACACTAAAATTGAGCAGAGAATTCCTGTTGTTTGGAAACTTGCAATAAAAACGCCTTATTGGAGAATAGAACACAACGGAATAGATCCACAAAAGGCAGCAACGACAGACGAGGAAGGAGGCTGCTGGGAGAGAAAAGTTGATAGAAGAAAACAAAAAGTTCCCATGCTTAAAAGCGCTAAACATTCAGTTCCGGTATTTAAAAACGTTTTCAACAACAACCAGAGACCGGGCCAGAGCAGACCGGGGGAAGTCAGAAGGGGGAAGACCTGAATGAAAGAAAATTCATGAATGAAATACGACCACGACGACTACGACCAACTTCATGATGATGATGGAGATGATGAAGAGGATGATGATGGTCATCATAATGACGATGATGGTATGGCATGGTATGGTATGGTATGGTATGGTACGATATGGCTTGGTATAATGGGTGAACTTCAAGGGGGAGTGGGCAAGGCACTGGGGTCTGCAGATGGTAAATGTATGAGTAAATACAGGGAGAAAAAATTAATTATATCTTAGTTATATTAAATTGGTGAATAGAAATATAAATGACATTTATCAAAAAAAGGTAAGATATTTAAATTATAGGGTCTCTAATTAGATATTTCTAATGGTTAGTTTTTTAGGGTAAATCAAAGTTTTCCCAATATCATAACTATGCTTAAAAATCATTCATTTGAATTCGGTAAACGTTTTTATGCTAGTTTTTATTAGCTTAATAAATCTGCATACTGGATTTAACATTTTTTTAAGATTGAAATTTTTATCAATTTTTGACAATCTTAACTTAACCCCTTATAAAATTTTAAAAATTTGAAAAAAATTTTAAAAAATGTGCTTTCCACCAGACATTGCTTAATCGATTCAGCTGTTGATGCTGATGAAGAATATATATGATATATAGGATCGGAAATGATTCATTCCCTACTTTTGAAGCTTCTGACTAAAATTATAATACCCTGTAAAGGAAACTGAAGTATGTTAGCAATTCGATCAATTTATCGAATCCAAAATCAATCATAACTTGATCAAAAAATTATTAATTTCAATTCGGAAAGAGGTGCTGTGCTAGTTTTTAATAGGTTTATAAAGTTGCATACTCAGTTTAAGATTTAACAGAATTAAAATTTTTATCAATTTTTTAGTTTTTGATTTTAACGATTTAACCACTTATAAAATTGTGAAAAAAAATTTGAAATTTTTTTTTCTTACCAAACATGGCTAGATCGATTCAGTCATTGATGCTGATCATGAATATATATGATTTATAGGGTCGGAAATGACTCCTTCACTGTTTTTGAAGCTTATAACTAAAATTATAATACCCTGCAGGGGTAGGAAAAAATATCTGTTTAATACTATATACTTTATATATTTATCAAACGATATTAAATCAAAGCTCTAAAATAATAGTAAAAATCCTTACTAAACCTATCTGGAGCTTTTAAATACCTTTTGAATTACCTATAACCATTATTTTATCATTCAATAAAATTATACAAAATTAAAGATATATTCCCTAGTCAATTTAACAAATTTTCTCCCTGTGTAAATGTGTGTTTAAGTGAATGAAAAACGTAAACGCTGGATGAGCAACGAAGCAACTGCTACGTCAGCGACTTCAACTTCTCGCTTGGCTGGGCAAGTCAATCTGTGAATGAATGAATGAATGAATGAATGCCAAAGCGACAGACCGTCCAAATGTATGAATGGATAAAGCCAACAAACAACAACAAAAAAGATCGGGCAATTTGTTGGCCATATACAAACAGATCAGCCACGCATATTTGGCCTAAACAAGTCGATGGCTCGTCGGTTCGATGTGTGTGCGCGTGGCATGGCCAAAAGCTATAGCCAAAGCCGGAGGGAGGAAGGGGAAATATCAAAAGAGGCTGCCACAAAATTCCAATTGACTGGGAAATGCATAAACAAATCAAGCATGGATCCCAGCATAAACAACTCTTCCGTTTCCGAGAGTTTTTTTGACCAAGTTTGGTTCTGTTGATTTTTTTTTCGTGGGCGTTTTTTGAATGCGGCCAGGTGTGAAAACGTGAAAACGCTTTTTGTGGGCCACAATGCCACGAAAGAAGCCCGCTGCCTGCTGCCAAATAGCGCAATAAATATTTATGAAATAACATGTTTACATAAATCTTTAAGTCTCTCGATGGCCACACCTCTCTCTCTCTCTCTAATTTATGGAATTTTTATGCTAATTAATACATCCGATATGTTTGCCAAGATTTGACAATATTTAATTTGATCATCTTGAAACTAGTTTTGTGGATCGTTGCTTTAAATTAATGCTCATCAGTTTTGAGTTGATTTTATTCACAGAAACCATCAATGAAGATATGGGTATTCGTTTTCTGGTGAATGAACTACCCATTTAGGTTGCCTCTTACTTTTGAGATTCTTGTGAATGAATTTCTACGATGAGAACTATCGTTAATTTAGTGGGGAACGAACTTCCATGGAACACACTTTTAATTGATCAATCACTGATCTTAACCAGAATTGGTCTACTTCTGGGAAATTGATTGAATCAAATCTTTGTATGAATCAACTGGGATAATGTAAAATATATATATCTTTATTTGTTCTTCCCAGACAAGTTTATAAGTTTTAATCCCTTAATGAATCGATTGGCTTCCCTTGATTTTGCATATCATGTTTTCATAATTTCAATCTATGCTTTTTTCTCTCAATAATGGAATTTTTTTAATGCTAAATATAGAAATTATTCAATGCTATCAGAGAAGGCACAACAAAAAATAATAGTAATAATCATACAAAAAATACAAACAGATATTGAAAGAGAGTAGACAATATTTATATGTATATATATATATCGGTTAAGTGTGTCTGGATGCCGTAGACAAAAACATACATTTATATACAAATATTTGCATAAAAAACAACCAATGGACGGCAGCATACCGCAATTATTCACCTAAAAAATGTGTTCAAGTCTCCAATCTGAGAGAGCTCCCCATTGAGAAAAATGCCTTAAAGCGGCGGCTTTGGCCAACAACTACAGCCACAACCTGAGCCAACGGATGCTCAGATACCAAAAAACTAGTTTGCCCACTTTTTTATATATATATATATTT